AATTTTGTTGGCCGTGTTGTGTGCTTTCTAAGCTAATTAGAGTATGCCAACTGCGGTCTGGCCAGCATATGGCAACTGGCTTGTTTGTTTTTCAATTTGGAAATTATATAACCTGTTTACCCCCGGATCCAGTCCCTTCGCGGTGCTGTACGGTGCGTGTCTGTGTACTCCAGTTAATGGCCTGTGACGTGGTCGAGGACTCTGAGGAGGAGCCACTTTGCGGCTGCGTTTTCCAACCCCACAGCAGCTGGCAGGATTTCCCTAAGCTCCTTTCCTCCGTTGTGGAGAAGGGCTGGGCCCTGCCCCTGTGCGGGGTAATTGCATTTTCAGGAAACTGGGGCACATGTGACGGTCGACTGCATTATTAAGTGGTCGCCGGGATAAGTAGCCCACTGGCCAGGGCCCAAGGACCTGCTGGCATTAGCCTGGCTCGTGGCGAATCCATGACCGATAATACCAGCAAACTGCTGCCAATTATCACCTATAACTCCTCGGACCTGGCCATCAATTGGACCTGGCATGAGTCAGAGCCGCACATTAACCGCCTGTCATTCAGCCAATTACCTGGCCCAAGGCAAACAAAAGCAATACTAGCTGGTCTATATACGTATATATTATTCCGATCTATATGCCAAATGGATGCAACGATTCATTCATATTTCTTTATGCCCAAAATATATACACGAATGCCTATGTAACAGCTGTTTTTGGGAAGCGACAGATTTCCACTCTCCCTCTCTGAAAGATTTTCCTCTTTTGTAGCTTTCCAGTCGGTGGCTTTTCATTCTCTGGCCTCTCGAGTGAATTCAGCGAATGATCCCTGAAATTCGAAATGAACATTTTTATGGCCAAGATGAGAGAGAGAGCGAGTAAATTGGCTTGAATCTGATGTGGATGGCGGCGGGGATTTCTTTTCGGTTTGCCAGCGTTTGGCGTTTGGACGTGTGTCGCTCGAATGTCGCGTCTACGAACCCGCACAAGAAAGTTAGTTTAACTGGGCGTATACGCAACGTGGCCCACGGTACACGGTACTCGGACAGAGAGAGGGTTTGCTGTTCGTCACTCTGGTCTGGCCCGGCCTGGCCCGGCAATCGTTACTGCGCGATATCGGGATATAGAACATCGATCTCAAACGATCGCCAGTCGCTGCCCGCCGCTCGTGCGTTCCGCTCGCTCTTCCTTCCGCTCCTGCTACTCGAACGTCGTGTCGTCCGCTTCCGGAGCGGTATCAGCTGACGGTTTGGAAACGGTTTCTTTGGAAAACAAAAACGGCATTTTCTGAAAAAAAACATCTTTAGTTTTATTCGAATTTAAGGCACGGGTTTTTTTCCTTCTAGCGCGTACTGTTCTTTTGCCTTTTTGGCTATTTTTAACGTGTGTGTTTGCGGCCAAAAACTCACACACACACGCACACCACCCAAACCCCCCCCCACACACACACATTTTTGCCCGAATTTCATATAAGTGCGTATGTGTGGAAAATTTCGTTTTTGGTTAAATAAGTCATAGACCCAACCACCCCACTAACGATATCCCTCTGGAGATGTCAGAGAAATCAAGAGCGATCGATAGGGCAGGCCAGTCAATATGTCACTTGGCATCTTCCTCGCCTGCCACTTGCCATTTTCAGATGCACCACATGCAGTGCCAATGAAAAGCGTGTCAAGAGACGAAAAAGAAAATTCCTTAGAAATGCACTTGGTTTTTTTTTAGAGAAGGGGTATAGTGGAATAACTACAGTAGTCGGGGCTTGTTGGGTGTTAATACTTAATTTATGTGAACCTATAAATAATTTCAATTTAGAGAATGTTCTGCTGTTGACTGGCTCGGCCATTTTCTATATAATATAGTGCGAGTTGTACGAAAAAATATGCTAAAAATACCGAAAACTGAACGCTGCGTGTTCTTTTCTTTCGTTGTGTGTGTGTCTGAGTCTCTAAGTGTGTGTATGGTGTGTGTGAGAGAGAGTGCATTGCAAATTGATTAAAATGCAAGCTAAACTAAACTATTTAAGAAACGACAACAACCAAAAAAAATAGACAAAACAACAGGAGGACATCAACAAATTCGACGTCAGTCAGTCAGCGGACTATTATTTAATTTTCTGTCCATCTAGCCCAAGGCAGAAAACAAAAAAAAAAAACATATAAGAAAAGAAAAAAAAAGTAAAATTAAAAAAAGCCAAAAAAAAAAATTAGAAAATGCGGACAGTTTTTCTGGCAAAAGCCGAGTGAAAATGAAATAGACTTGGCCAAGCACTAAAATACGGTTGAACAATATTACGAATATTTTTCGTTGGCCCGACGAGCGAATTTCAGTTGCTCTGTTCAGTGTTCAGTGTTCTGAGTTCAGTGTTTAGTTCATTTTTATTTGAATTTTATTCGGGCCTGCTCTCACTCGGTAGGAGAATCGAGTAGCGAGATTTTTAAAATAACAATGATACATGCCGCTCCGTCCGTTGGCTTGTTTATAAATAAATCCTCATACGTAAAATGTTCTTTATCAGAGAGTGATAATATAGCATGGCCGGGGGCTGGCTGCTCGGGATTGATTGCTCTATTTGTTGTCTAGGTGATATATCTTCGATTTATGGTCAAGCGGGGCATCATCACTTGTCACTTCGTCTCTGAGATCTCGTCTCGCAGGTGTGCTGCCACAACACCCACCTGGTCATAAAATAGTGATGGGATATGATATTTTCCATATAAATAAACACAAAACTAGTTAGATCTATCTACTTTCCCAAATATTTGTTTATGCTACCCTTGTTATATTATTCTGGGCCTAACTGTCGTGCCGTCTCTCACCTGGCCCTGTTTTGAAATCAATTTTGTTTAAAACGAAAACTCGGGAAGAGGGCAAATATTGCCCAAGCAGGAGTAGGAGGAACTTGCTCCTGGTTGCGTGTGTTTTCATCATCATTAATGTTTAAACAAAACAACATTGCCAGACTGTTGGAGCAGCCCCCTCCTCTTTGTTCTGGCCCTCATCCCGCATCCCGCCGAATTTTTCTTGGTTCCGCTCGGTGTGTGTATGTTGTCTATTAATAACAAAGCTTCAGAAGAATTCGCCTCTCCCGGCGTCTCGACTCATCCTCATCTCATCTCGTTTCGAAAAACCCAAATCGTTCTGGCGTCGACCGCAAAAAGAACAATAAAATCCCCAACCAGTCAGAAGCTAATACCGAAAGCAAAAAAAAACAGGAGCAAACAGCATGTTGGCCTAGTACGTCGTCTGTTGCAAGATGATTAAAGTAAACAAGACCAAAGGGTCCAATAGTTCAAACAGAGCAGAAGTGTTCCAACCAAATCCCTGTTGCCAACTCCCTCTGAACTTTTCCATTTAGGGCAAGGAATTTTGCAACTTTTGGAGTAGCAGGAGCAGCAGGAGCCAGACTTTATTCATGCACTTTTCCATCCCCCCCCTTTCAGCAACAAGGAATTCTGCAACCAAACTGACCACATGGCGTATACGCAATATTCGATGGTGTTGTTCAAGAGTCGAATTTTTAGCATTTTCCCCATCAAACAAGCTGAAATATTTTGATAGAGAGGGCTGCCCTTATGATTGGAATTTATTCTTCCTCAGGCTCCACTTAAAAACATATGGCCTCTGAAAAATCTTCCATTTTATTAAAAAAAAAATTGAATTCTAGTTTTTTGTACTTTTTTCATTTTGGAATTTTTGGAAGATTTAAAACATGATTATTTCCTTTCATTTAGCTTAAATAAATAAACCATCGAACCGAGTCCGGGGATTACTCATCGCGAATTCCTCCTCCAGTTGAATTACACATGGCCTTGCCCGGGCCCGGGGATTGGAAATCTGAAAATCGAAATCCGAGTGACGTGCACTACTCGCGACCGAAACCATGAAGACATTAAAAGTGTTCTTCCTAGCATTCGCCTGCTACTATGCACTCTTTGTAATTTTCTATTACTGCTATCGAGCGTACCTCTAAACACGCATATATATATAATCATATTCATAAACAGATATATACAAGATATATATACATATATAGTATATAGTATGTGTCGGGAAAAACAGCTGAGCGTGGCAGAGCAAACCACCCACTAGAGAGGCGGTCTGCCATTGAGAATTTTGGCCTTTGACGTGGCTCGTGTACACACATACGCAAATATATAGATAAATATATATGTATATATAGATAGGTGCGATGATAAATTTGGTTGCTGCCAGTGCCAGTGCCTGTGCCAGGCGAAATAAAAACGAAAATCGCTGAGAGCGGCCATTGCAACCGCAATCGAGTGCAATTACATTGAATCCATTATGCATCGTCACCTCACATCGTCATTTGCTATATCATTCGCCCTCGACTTTGTTAAAGGTATATTCCAAAACCCCAATAGACCTCTTAGTGCCCCCCTTTTCCAGACGCGCGTGGCAAGTCGGCGGAATTATAGACTTTCGGGCCAAGATAAAAATCAATTAAACGCGCCTTGTAAATCACCCGAAATATGCGCAATTTCCCTCCACTCGGATAGTTCCGTTTCGCTGTTTTTATTCACTATATAGTGTCTATATGGTCGTCCAGGCAATGTTTATGCATTTTGGCCAGCGGATGAGAAAGATTTTTATGACCAGGCTATACGCTTGGGTTTTTACGTGGAATCACAATTGCATAATGCGAAAAGATAATCATTTAAAATTACTTTATTGATTAACGATTTCATTCATCCATTTGCAGATCACTCGCCGACCAAGAATGGCCTACGACATTAGCATAGAGAATCAGATCTGCAACTGTCAAGGGACATCGAGGGACGCTCGGCTTATGCAACTGTAGTAGTAGTAGTACTAGTCGAGGCGCAAAAACGAAGGATTAACTTTCGCGTTTCAGTGAAAAAAAAATAAATAAAAACAAAAAACACAACCAGAAACCTAACCAACTTATACTAACTAGAACCTAACTAGAACACACACTTAGGCTAAGAGCAGAGAGCAATCGAAATAGCGAAAACGAACCATAGACAAGGATCAGATGTGGCAACAGCAGGCAGAGGTGGAGGAGCCAGAGCAACAATCGAGCGGAAAATCAATGAGCAGCAGGCGGAGGCACAGAAAGCCCAAGGCAATAGCACTATTACCAAGACATTTAAACCGCGCCCGATCCCATTAATCCGACCAGCTCGAGGATGCAACAGGCTGGCCAACTGACGCCCCAGCAACTGCAGCAACAGCAGCAGCAGCTCCAGCAGCAGCAGCAACTGCAACAGAATGGCGGCGACTTGTCCGCCTACGCCTCCCAGCCGGGGGTCAGTAGGCGTGGCCCCATAAGCGGCGGCCGCTTCGACTTTGAGGATGGCGGCACGTACTGCGGCGGATGGGACGAGGGCAAGGCGCACGGACACGGAGTCTGTACGGGTCCCAAGCACCAGGGCGCCTATGCCGGAGCCTGGAACTACGGATTCGAGGTCTCCGGCTCATACATCTGGCCCAGGTGAGTTGATAGACAGGCCTAAACTGATTGATTCTCTAATTACAATCCACTTTCCAGCGGATCACACTACGAGGGCCAGTGGCAGAACGGACGCCGTCATGGCCTGGGCGTGGAGCAGATCGGGCGGCAGATCTACCGCGGCGAGTGGTCCAAGGATGGGCACAAGGGACGCTACGGTGTCCGGGAGAGCACGGTGTCGACGGCCAAGTACGAGGGCACCTGGAACGAGGGCTATCAGGACGGGTCCGGATGCGAGACCTACGCGGATGGAGGTGAGTGGTTGGGCGCCATACGCTGCGTATACGTAATATGTGCATGAGATCATTTTGCGTTTCTATGTTTTTTTTTTTTGGCTCACTTTCAAAACTGGGCGAACATGAGTTCGTTCTCATGTCGCTGTGGTTGTTGGTTTTGTCTTACTTTTGACGTTTCTGTAATCATTTCTGGGCGCCTTTTGTAGGTGTACCTAGTATATGAGGGTGCCTGTGTCTATGTATGCCTTTGGGCTTCGGTTTCGATTTGTATTTGTGTCCCGCACACATCCTTAGACTAGCCACTGCCTGACGTCATATTTTATTTGGCGGCGCGGTTCAATGATATTTGGCTTTCCCGGTTCAGTTTAGAGCTTTATATGTACATTTTTGCAGCATGAGTGAGGCTCTCACAATCAGGGGACAGAACACATGGCCCAGAGATCGGGTGTTCCCCTCTGCCGGAATATTGCTTTCAGGAATCGTTAAATGCAAATGAAAGTGTCGACCTTTGGGCCCCGAAGAACAAACGGAATTGGCGCATAACCATCCATTAGAATTAGCCAGGGGGCTAAGTAGCGTTTCCTAATCAACTAACGCAACTTTCACCATTAACCTGAACCGCCGAAGTAAACGGAAACGGCACTGCCAGAAAATATGTGAGGCCATCAGGTGGTGGACTAACAAGTTTTATTAAAATACAAAGCTGGTTTTCCTTTCAGTACTTAAGTGGGTTGAATCCTGGGAGAGGGCACGTAGTTCCATTAATAGAATCAGGCAGGAAATGTTAGCTTCTGGCTCAGCTCCTGGGCATTAGCATAACCATTCTAGTGGCATACTGCAGTTGTCTAATGCACCCTTTTCTATTATTCCTTTTCCCAGGCAAGTACCAGGGCCAGTGGCAGGAGGGCAAGCGACACGGGTATGGAATCCGCACCTCGGCCCCCTTTGGCCTGGCCTCTCACCACCGCCGTAAGAACCTGCACGCCTCCCTCAGCTCCCTGCGGAGCGGAGAGAACGGAAACGCGGCCAAGATGGTGGAGAAGGCGGAGGAGATCCGGGGCGGATTCGTCCTCACGGCTAAGTCGGACAAGCTTCCGGTGCGCCGCAACAGCCTGACGGACAAGACCGGCAAGAAGGGCTTCCTGATGGTGGGTGAACCTGATGATGGATGGAGCAACTGAATCAGTAAACTAACCATAGCTTCTTCCATAGGGCCTCAAGATGCGAAAGCAGCGAAGCACCGGGGATCTGGAGAAGCGTGGAACCATCGCTTCGGGCAGTATACGCTCCACCATGTCCTCGGCTTCCTGGATTAGCACCGGCTCCGAGCAGTCCAACCTGACCACAAAGTAACTATTCTTTGAAAGATTTCTTGAGGTTCCTTATGGTAATCTTTCCAAACTATTTCAGATCCAATCACACAGAGTCCAATGCCAGTTTCACCATGGACGATGAGCAACTGGACCCCACTGTGGTTGAGACCTACATGGGCGAGTGGAAGAAGGACAAGCGTTGTGGTCACGGTGTGGCCGAACGCAGTGATGGACTCAAGTGAGTTTCCCACAAAAATTACTTAATAATAGTATATAATATTTATCAAAAAACTATCAATAGATACGAGGGCGAGTGGTATAATAACCGCAAGCATGGCTATGGTGTTACCACCTTCCGGGACGGCACCGTCGAGGAGGGCAAGTACAAGAACAACATCCTGATCACCAGCCAGAAGAAGAAGCATTTGTTCCTGGCGCGCTCCCGCAAATTCCGCGACCGCATCACGGCGGCGGTGAATGCGGCCCAGCGCGCCCTCAAGATGGCCATGCAGCGGTCGGACATGGCCATTTCCCGCATGGCCACCGCCGCGGCCAAGGCCCAGAACGCGGACATGGCCGCCGAGCAGGCGCGCATCGATTGCGAGAATGCCGTTCGGATGGCGCGCGAGTTTGCTCCGGACTTCAAGCCGTCGGTGCTGGAGCGGTTCGAAAAGCTGCGCTTCCGGGAGCGGGAACGCTTCCGTCCCGGGCAGTCGGCCGCCTCCGATGCCAACGTGAAGATGGGCGTGGGCATGCAGCCGTCGCAGCAGCAGTCGCAGCAGCAGGCGGGCCAGTTCTCGCCGGCGAGCAGCAGCGGCTCGGACGCCTATGCCACGCAGGCCCAGCGCCAGCAGCAATATCTGAACATGCAACAGGTGCAGCAGCAGCAGCGTCGGATGTCGCAGCAGAAGCAGGAGTCCGAGTGCCCGGTGCCGTCGTCCATGTACTCGCAGCAGCTGCCCGTATCGCCGCAGACGGACCTCTCCGGCATGGTCAGCCAGGGCCAGCCCAGCCACGCCCAGGTGATCAGCGCCATCAATCAGATGTACCATCAGCAGCAGCACCAGCAGCAGCAGCATCAACAGCTGCAGCAGCAGCAGCCGTCGCAGCAACAGAGCAATCCGCAAATGAATCCTGCATATCAGTTCCAGCAGCAGCAGCCGCCTGGCCAGGCCAAGATCAATTCCAATCTGAATGCCAACCTCAAACAGAACCAGAACCAGAACCAGGTCCAAGGTCAAACCCAAAACCAGAAGCAAGTGCCCTTCGGGGCGGGCACAAACGTGGCTGGCCTGTCGCCGCAACAACAGCAACTTCTGCAGCAGCAGCAACTCCAGCAGCAGCAACAGCAACAGCAACTCCTACAACAACAGCAGCAGCAGCAACAGCAACTCCTGCAGCAGCAGCAGCTCCAGCAGCAGCAACTCCATCAGCAGCAGCAACAGCAACTCCAGCAGCAACCCTCGCTGCATGCCTCGCCCAGCCACAATGCCTCGAACCTGCTGCGCCGCGCCTCGCAAATGCAACAGCAGCAGCTCCAGGAGGCGGCCAGTGCCGCCGCCATGTCGGCCAATGCCGCTGCCATGGCCGCCGCCCAGCAGCAGCAGCGCAGCGGCCGCCCGCCCATGCTGGGCCAGATGGGCCAGCAGTCCTCCATCGACCACTTCGACCACTACAAGCGACCGCCCAGCCGCGACTCCTCCATCGATCGGTACGCCCGGGCGGCCAGCAGGCTGAGCGGCGCCTTTGCCGGCTCGCGGCAGACCTCGCTGGACCGCTCCGGCCTCGCCGATCCGCTGACCAACGGCGGCACCAGCACTCCCGACGGCCGCCAGCGGGCGGGCTCAGTATTCCGCGGATCCACCCCGCAACCAGGAGCCGGAGCCTCGCAGATGACGGGCAACGGATCGCTGCCCTCGGGCAATGGTTCCGCGGCCGGAGGGCGTCTATCGCGTGCTGGCACGCCCAGTTTGGGGTCCGGAGGACGGGCGCCCAGTCAAAGCAACGCGGAGCCGCTGTTCTCCTCGCCCAACCAGCCGTTCGAGGATGTGCTGCTGCGCCAGCGGACACTTGGCCAGGACATCATTCCCTCGCCCTCGCAGCCCAAGCGCACGGAGAGCCTGTATCTGCCGGCCAAGCCGGCCACGCCCGTGGGCATGGCCATGGGCGGCAAAGGAGGCGGTGGAGGAGGCGGCGGCGGCGGTGGCGGTGGCGGCAAGAAAATGAAGGTGAGTCAAAATCGTAAAGTTAAGTGACTAATCGATCGGGAGAAGTGCGAGTTGGGAAGAAGTCTCATCAGAAATCCCGGGACCGCCGCCTAAAATATTTCATAACACAGTTAATCCGAGCAATTAACTTAATTTGTATGCCATCCGTCTTCTATGCGGGTGCGAGAGATTTCCGTGGAGGGGGGAGAGAACCTAGGCGGCGGGATCTGGTCTCGGCCAGCTCTCTTGTGGCGGACGGAGCAGAGCGAACATGTGCCCATTCTGGGCTATTTATAGCCGCGGGCACGAATGCACGCCAGTCGCCGGACTCGCCGCCGGATTCGCCGGATCCGCCAGGTTGGAATGCATGCGTGCCGCTGAATCTCCCGCTGACTTTTCTCTCAGTTCCTCTGGCGGAATGAACACTCCACAAGTGGCCATTGGAAGTCTGGCGACAGCGACAGCGAGATAAATACACAGAAATCCTCTCGGAAAGTGTTGCTCCCCGCTCGTTTGGGCTAAAAGTCTTGTGGCCCGGTGGCGACAGTTTTCGTATTGGCCAGTAGTAGCAAACGACGCGTCGTCCACCGCGGATTAACAATTTCAACTCCGAGCATCACTCACGCCGAGTGGCAATATAATTCTACCACGTATATGTATCACATATGTGTGCCATTCAAAACAAGATAAATACATAGGAATTTTGAAAGCATTTTCAATATATTTGATTTTGGCTGTTGTTTTGGCTCAGTGCCGTTGTGGGACTATTTTTGGCTGCTCCCACGGAGACTCTTCTCGTTGGTGCTTTGTGCTTCGGGCTCGGGTACTGAGTGCCTCAGTAAAGGCGGAACGCCATGTCCAACTCGTTTACAAGTTGGAACCGCCTGTAGAAGACAGATTACACACAAATTGTCCAACGTTATGCAAGCAGCCTTTCCCAGCTGCAATCTTTAGAAACTAATTGCTGAAAAAGTTAAATCCAAAGACTCTTCTCAACCATGGATTGGTATCCGGAGGAGGATGAGGAGGACCTGATGTTCTCGCCGGCTCTGTTGGCCAGGCGGGCCAGTGAAAGCTGGATAGTTGAACCACCAGTTGAGGTGGTCTTTTTAATATTTCTTTAAAATATATTTTCTTAAAAATATTTATATATATTTTCGGTTTATTTTTCAGTCGGTGCCCATTAATGTGACGCTGCAAAGGAAAAAGTCCATGCCAGATTTCCAGGAGCTGCCCCGCGCCACCGAGGCCATGAGCCGGGAGGAGGTATCCGCCCTTGGCTCGGCCCGGCGGGAGGCAGTGCGTCGCCAGATCGAGGTCAACGAACGCCTTCGAGCGAATCCGTTGTTGTACTTGGTCAGTCCACAGGTTAGGGTAAGTATCTGAAACGGAACCGGAAACGGATATGCAGTATAAATGGCATGGTTGCCCTTCAAGTATTTTCTTTTACTTAGAAAATGTTTCCAAAAATGAGTCATTAATAATTTTTAGAAATTATTTCTGGTAATATTTAAACTTATTCTTGAAATAACTTGAAAAACTAAGCTTTTTAAACTGCATATATTTTAGAAAAACCCTCCTATAATTATCCTTTATTATCCTTCTCCACAGGATTGGTTTGTGCGCCAACAGCTGATGCTGATTGTCCTGTTTTTCAATGCGGCGTTGGCGCTGCTGTTTGTTTACATGCTCACCTAGCGCTGGCGGAGGCGCAGGATGCGGCGGGTCAGAGGTGGATTTGGATGGGATTTGGATGCCGTGCACCACCTGGCTATGAGCCACTGTGGTTTCGGCCACCAGATCCGAGCAAAGTCCGCAAAAAGCCGCTGTTTTGTGGGCTTTTTGTAGGCCACTGCAACGCCGCGATTTGTTTTTGGTGGGTGGGTTTGGGGGGTATATTGAGAGCTAATAAGTTTTTAGCATTTGCAGTAACCAATTAAAAAAAAAAAACATTTAAGTAAAGTACCATTTATATAATGATATGTATATCAGATGTGTAACACGCTAAACGATGGGAAAACATAAATCGAATTAAAAGTCTAGACTGCAGCCAAATAATGGATAATTAAATTATAAATCATAGCGCAGGACTGCAATGCACAAACCGTAGTAAACCTAATTGAATCTTTCATTTGTCGAGCCAATTAAAAATTTGTATTTGCCGCTGAGGGGGAGCTGGATAAGAGATCCAATAAAAACTATATGCAAATCAATTTAACGAATTTTTCTACACATCTAATGTAAAGGTAAACGGCGTGAAACCAGTGTTTAATCAATGTTTAATCATGATACCAAAATAAACGCATAATTTACTTCAACTCTGGCTACATAATATTAAATAATAATTAATATAAAGCAAACTTAGGCAAATGCAAAGCAACCAAAACCATGAAAATTCTCCTATTTGCAATTGAATATACATTAGTCAGCAACTTAATCAAAACACAAACAAAACCAAAAGGCAAACGAATAAAACTTGTACTCATATTTATATATTTAAAAAAAAAACCAAAAACATAAAAAAAGTGTAACGATGTGACACCTATATTTGTAAAATTAGCAAAATTGTGTGGGACCGAATAAAAAAATTAAAAAATAAAAACAGAAACCAAAACAAAAGCAGATATCAGAGTGGCTAACAAGATATCACGTAGTGTTTTGTGTCGCTTTGTTTTCGGTGGATGAGTTTTGAAAAAAGTAAACATTTTTGAAGAATTTGGAACCAAAATAAAAGAATCTTGTGGAGGTCCGAAAGGAAAAAATTAAAAAGTAATCCTTAATTATATATTTTAAAGCAACAGATCGAGATTGTTAATGAATGAAGCTGTATATATACATTTTAAAATATCGTATAATTATAATTATTTTCTTCTCGATAATTTATGTTTAACTTCATAGCTGGGACGGATAACGATGTCATTAATTCAAAGTGTTGCAATTTATCGTTTTTTAGTTTCACTTCATTTATGATGTACGGAATATGTTCTAAATATTATTATTTAATTTTTTATTTGTTATTTTATATGCATAAATTATGAAAATGAAATAAAACTGCACATTCGCATCTTTGCAAGTGTAAAATCTTTCCATTTTGTTTTTATTTCCCAATATTATTTCCATTTAAACTATCTATCAAGTGCAATTATAGTAAAATGTGAATATTTCTGCTTTTTTCGGCTATTTTTGTGTGAACCGAATAAAGCTGATTAGCATTGTGGATCCTCTGTCCAAAAATTAATTCCCATTTCATTCGAAAAGGTGCAAAATATGATTAATTTTCAAAGAACATACAAACGAAAGACTTGAACTGAAAATCTTTGGCTGGTGTGGGAAATTCGTTAAAAAAAATATGAGGTACTTGCAAAAATAATAACTTCTAATGCATACACCTATAAAATTGAATACTAACTGGATTAAAAATAATTTGTATTGTATATATTATATGTATCTGTGTATATCAGATTGGCAAGCCTATATGGACAATGGACAAGCTGGAGAAGATAAAATCTTATTCAATGTTATCAGCAAACAAACAAAAATATATCAAAATGATAGCAGAAACAGAAACCTTTTTAAAACAATAATAAAAAGCATCAAAGCCTAAAAATAACAAATGGGAATTTTATTTCAATTGGGGATTGGGAAAGATATAGCCATCACAGTAGACCCTATAAGGGAAAGCCCCATTTTCAAGGGATCCCATCACGAAAAATGGACAAAAAATCTAAAAAATATTTCGTCTCAGGATTTTTATGCAGAATGGTAGCGAATCGATACAGAAATCGTTTAAGGTGCTCCGCTTGGGAATCGGATGAGAATTGTTGAAGATATAGCCATCACAGTGGGCCCTATAGGGAAAACCCCATTTTCAAGGGATCATCACGAAAAATGGACAAAAAATCTAAAAAATATTTCGTCTCAGGATTTTTATGCAGAATGGTAGCGAATCGATACAGAAATCGTTTAAGGTACTCCGCTTGAGAATCGGATGAAAATTGTTGAAGATATAGCCATCACAGTGGGCCCTATAGGGAAAACCCCATTTTCAAGGGATCCCATCACAATTCTAGAATGAAGATAGAAGAATTCTACATACCCATATAATCCCCAAATCATCCTTAAACTTGATATTTAATATTTTTTTCGGTGGTTTAATAAATAAGTAAACAGAAAACAAAGTCGATTCATAAATAATCAAAAAAGGAGGAAAACAGTATCATCTATCCTAGTAAGAAGTCTAAACCTAACAACAACAGCTACCTACTGAGGTCCATCAGTAATCGTAGCCCCTTCCCTGGTTGCCGTAGCCAAAGTCCTTCAGGTAGTTGTCGATGGCCAGGTCGAAGGTGGAGGATGGCTTGTCCCGACCGGGAACGGAGTTATCGTAGGTCTTCACCGGGGCTGGAGGCGGTGGCACGGGATAGGATTCAGTTTGCGGAGCATACGACTCCGTGTGGCTGGGATAGGACTCCGTGGCGGTGGGGTAGGACTCCTTGGGGTAGGACTCCGTGATGCTTGGATAGTTTACCGCCGGGCTGGGATAGGACTCCGTGTGGCTGGGCACAATGGGATAGGCCTCTGTTTGGCTGGGGATATAGACCTTGGGCTCCTCTACAATGGGATAGGAGGTGGTCTGGTCGTAGCTTGGCGGTTGGGTTGCCACCACCAGCTTCTCCTCGTAGGGGGTCTTTATTTTGGCCAGGGACACCCCGGAGGATGAGGCCACCGCCGACACGAGGATCTTGGAGCTGCGCTTGGGAGCTGGCAGCACCTTGCTGATGACCGGCACTGTCTGTTTGTTGTAGACCGGGGAATAGTAAACGGAGGGAGCCGGTGGGAGCGGACTGGGCGCGGAGTAGCTCTTCTTTCCACCGTAGGCATTGCTCAGGAGCTGGGCCAGCTCCTCCAACGAGAAATTGGGAGCAGCTATGTTGGCCACGGCAGGGGATGGGGTGGCGGAGGCGGCTTGTTCTTCGTAGACCAAGGGGGTAGGGCTTATACGATTTGGGGCCACCCACTGGACCCACCAGGCCGGCATAGCCGTCGCCTCCGTACTTGGGCACGAACTTGCGCTGGTGGACGTGGTTGAACTCCACCTGGCCGCCAGGAGCGTACTCTCCGATGGAGGAGATCTGGGTGAGGGGCTGCTGGGGATCGGAGGAGACCACCTTGCGGCAGAACTCCTTGCAGCCCAGCTTGCACTCGCAGTAGCACTTCTTGTACGGCGTCTGCGGTGTGGTGTAATCCGGGGTGGGTGGCTCGGGGCTAGGTGGGTAGGGTATCTCAGTGGTGGTGGGCACAGAGGTGGTACCGGGTCTCGTCGTTGTGGCACTTGTCGTCCCCGCTGTCGTAGGTGCTGGAGTGGTAGGCACTTCGCTGCACGGCACCTGCTCCCACACCTCCTGCTCGCACTCCGCGCAATACTCCGGGAAATGGGACTGTATGGAAGCCGTGGAAGCCAGCAAAACGGCCACAAAAAGCAAACTGCAACGCCCAAACATCTGCAAAAAAAAAGGCCAATAGGGAAAGGGGTAAAGTAGAGTCAGAAAATTAAAGAAAATGGGTCGTTCCTCAGTTCTTACCTTTCAGCAGAATTTCGTTCCCTCCAAGAAGTCGATCGTTTTCCCTGCAATTACTGGAATCTCTGTCCCGGATTGTTGGACTGCACTTGATGTCGCGTGCGAAACTCTTTCATGGAATATGCTGAATAGCTCTTAAATACGCTGCGCTGGCCGAGAGCCGAGCGGGCTACTTACAACACGCCGAACAAATGGGTCGCGGAAGCGTTGACCGCGTCACGTTCCAAACGCTCGATGGATCGACGATCGGGGCGTGGTGGCGGTGGCGGTGCTGGTCCGGAATGGGCCGGGTGGGGGCTCCACACAATCGCTCCACAGATGCCGCCGCTTCCGTAATACACATTCAAGCATTTCTACCCGCACCCAACGATAGCATTAAAAAATAGCTTGACAACAATTCTCAAGAATCGCGAACATGGCTAACAAACATGGTGCCTCTTCTGTATTTTTTCTCTGCTGACCTCTGGTTCATGGCTTTGTGGCATTAACCTCTAGGTGTTAGTGGCTGAAACCAATATCTAATACTGTTAATTAGATTGAAGGGAAGTTCCTGAAACTACCTTTTATTCTAGTAGTTCACCCATGGACCATTTTTTAGCAACTGCCAAAACTCGCTCCCCGGTTTGGGGATTTATAATTTCGTTAACTGGGCCTAAAACACATATTATTGTCTTTGGTCGATAACCTTATCAATTTTGGGATGCCAATTCGTGGCTTTTTGTCAGTTTTCATAGGCCTGAGAAAGATATCTTATCATTTCACCAAAAGACGGCTGTAAGTTTCCTGTTTCTGGCTGAGATTTTTATTAAGATTGTCCAGTAAGCCAATAATATACTCGATATCATTAAGATATAGCACACCAGATTTTAAACACTCTGTTATTTTCACCATAAACATCTTCAGAATTTATTTCCACTGTCACACATTTTATTATTTCATTAAAAATGTTTTTGTTTTTAAAACAAATTAACAAATAAATGAGTTTCGAACTAATTCAGGTTGGCCACTAGACTTTGGAAGGGTCGAGCTCCAGCATAGACCTGGATTTTGGGATGCAAGCTCGGTGCATCCACTGCCTGGGTCTCCTGGGTATGGTTTTCCTCATCCTGCCCCTTGGAGGAGCTCCGCTTCTTCACCTTCTCCCAGCTATCGGGTGTGGATTCCGTTGTCTTCTGTTGGTCTTTTGGTGATGCTGTTGAGGATGGAGGGGGATCTTGGCCTGAACTGCCCGTCCGGCCCGCCATCTCCACATCAATGGTTTCGGCACCATTCTGTCCGCTGGTCAGCCGTCGAAGCATATCCTGGTAGTGCGGCTGATCCGCCGTAATGTACTCCGGTTCGGCTTCGGGGTTAAGGATCTGGTAATTGGGGCTACCCAGCTCAAAGGTTGTAAACTCCCCGTGCTCCACCTTGTTCTTCAGGTGCTGGGCCGTGTAGCCGTACTGCCTGAGCGGAGCCATCCACTTGGAATCCGAGTCCTTGGTGACTGCCAGGCAGAATCCAAGGGCCATCAGCAAGGTGGCCAGCAGGTATCGTGTCGTCAGCGAGTCGACCATTTTCGCACTGATGCTCCATTGATCTTTGGGCCAGGCCGTTAGCCGAAAGCCAATAGAACCTGCTGGTAATCTGGCACAGCGACGTCGACGTAGAAGTCGAAGCCAAAGTCGTCGGTAATTGGACGCCCCCGAAGTGACAACAGGTACGTGAGATTAGAGGCATCTATGGGCCATGTCGTGGCGTCTGGCGGCGATAGCATTAGTTTGTGCTTATCACAAACTATCACAAAAGCCGGAGCCAGATGACACACCTCTGGCTATGAGACATCAGCTGGTCGGATACTGCATCCAAAAGTCCAAAGCCACCCAGACTTAGAAGCATGTTTAGCCATCTAGTCTGAGTTTCATTGAGGTTTTTTTTTTAAGTAGTCGGTTAGGTCATTCATAGATTCTTATTTTAATTAATAGTTAGCTTGGGTTTTAAGTTAATCAAAGACTAAACCTTATATACCGACTCCCATATCCATATGTTTCTCTCGGAATACCCATTGAAAGTTAGTCATTTTTTGTGTTCTTCTATCGAACAAATTGAATGTGATGCATCTGTATAATTAAATAGGCTTATGCTGTATATACAATTAATGGAAAGATTATAATTTAAATATGATAAATGGCAATGAAGATTTCCTTATTAAAGCGGGGATAGCATGGCTGACATCATGTGTGCTGTGGTGTATGGGAGGTATTAGTACTGGTGCCTAGTACTTGTAGGTGGCTGTGGGTCCGGAAACGGAGACATAGTTGCCCGGGGAGAGCTCCTGCTTGATGATGGCCTTGGGGGCAGCGTAGTGGACGAGCGGAGCCACGGGTACTATCGGAGTCAAAATCTTGGCGGCCAGCAACTTCTTGGGTGGCTCCGGCAGCGGAATCTTAATGTCCGTGGGCTCCCTCTGGACAATGGCCTCGAATCCGTTGTGATCGTCGGCCTTGTACTGGACAATGCGGCGATAGCCATCGGAATCGATCAGCTCGTAGACGCCCTCGACCTTGTCGTCCTTGCGGGTCTCCTTCTGGCTCTTGATGTCGCCGGTGTGGGGGTCGTTCACCGCCCACTGGAACTCGTAGGCCACTGGTCCGTAGTCCGGCTCCGGTTGCAGTTCAATGGCCCAAGTAGCTCCCACCAGGAACAGGCACACCAAATAGCTCAACTACAAAGGACGAAGGCTGTCTGTAAAGTATATCCATGAGGAGTATCCCTGCCAGCACACAACTCACTTTTCCCATCATGTCTCCTTTTGGTAGCTTCTAAGAACTGATTTGCACTCGACAAAGATCGGAATCGAAGTAATTAATCTGGGTAGTCCTCGCCTGCTTATATACTACAAGCTGCCTATACTCCAGTTATTATAAGCCAGACACCAGATCTCGGATTCAATCTGACTGGGATGTGGCAATCCACCCAAAGTGCGGTGTCGCGGTGTCTCCGAGTCGTGGTGCGGCACGCGCCTCCCAAACAAGATCGCCGCCGCGGCGACTCAAGTGGAGCGCGCTCATTAACAGAGCCCCAAATTTAAAAGTAAGAAAAAAATAATTATAATTAAACACGAAATATGTATGCAAAGTGCGGCATGGATAGATCTTAGCGGCACAGTGAAAAATGAAGTCTTAAATTAGGGTCTAAAGCGAATCAAATGGGAACTGCGCTGGCTTTATTTCAATTTCTTTTATTATATTACAGTATAATATACCCCAAAACCTATACCCCAAAGTTTAAAAGTCTTAAAGGATTATAGAATTTATTTCCTTAGATTTTTTTATTTAAAAAAATTAACATTTCTCTTAAAAGTTTTCACAAACTTATACTAGTTTGGTTTGGAACTTATATATAAAATATCTTATAAATCTTTTAATTCTTACATAGCTATAGAATATAAAAAGAATTTAATCTGCATTAAATATAGTAAAATCAAGAAACCTATGGTAAAGCCAAATCCCTTATAATATTTTCCTCAGTGTAGTCATTTAATTGGCACGCAAACTAATAAGCCCCCCGGCAAGTGGGTGAGTTAGCTGGTCGCTCTTAGAGGTGTCGCGCTAGTCGGTCTAGTCTCGCCAACAAATGTGCAGATTAATTTACTTAGTCAATAATTTGCAACATTAGACATTGGGCAACTAGTTCTTCGGACTGCATTAAGTCATAAAAATAATTGTCATTTTTTAATGGATCGATCGAGTGTCGATTGGAAAATTAATATCAGACTGGGGGAAACCTTCATGGATCAGCAGAGGCCAAATCCTGATGCCATTAACAAAATATTTTAATTAATTACTTGTTTCCTTCTGCAACCAAAAAAATAGATTTAAATTCAGGTTAGTCTATCGCTGTGGCAGAGCGTGTTTGTCGAACCTTAAAAGCAATCTCTGGTATGTGCACTTGTTAGGCGTAGCTGGCTCCAAAACTAGGTTAGTTCCAGCAACTAGCTAGTCAGACGCACTAAGCAGTTCTACGATTTGACAGTTGTGGGTTGGCTTCTACATAAACGTGTAAGTTTAATGAACGGTTTCATCAGCTTATGTTAGAGAGGGTTTATCTTTTGGTCTATTCTACTAAACTAGTCCTGATCCTGTTCTTCCGCTTCCAGCTTGCCACGAATGGTCCTTTGGTAGCGGGATCTAAGTAGCTCTCTTCTCAGGGCATTACTCTCAGTTTCCACAGTTTGAATGAGCTAAAATTTTAATTATTTTAGCATCGAATTAAAGGATATAGTTCTTATAAACTTACACTATTAGTGAGAGCCAATCTTTCGATGGTCTGGGCATCGGAATCATCATCTTTTGGAACGGACTCGCTGCTGGAGGAGCTCAGTCGCTTGCGATACTTGGAGAAATCGTGTTCCTCGTACTTTGGTGGGGCATCCTCTACAACTTCCGTAGAAACTCCCGAGGCTTCGGTTTCCAGCTTTAGAGCAGCCAACTCCTCACGTAAGCTCTGGTTTTGCATCTCCAAAAGATCCACCTGAGAGATCACATTTATTTAATGATTTTTCGAGATATTTCAGAACTCACGCTCTCTAATTCGAAATCCATTTCGTCTATAATGTCGTAAGACTCATCTAGGGCTCTTTGTAACTTCTCCACCTTGGCCTTGAGTTGCTCCAACTCATTTAATTCACTTTGGGCGGACTGTCGCTTTTCCATCATTAAACGTTGTTCTGGAAGAGTATACCTTATTTTTCAAGAAAACCCAAAACCTTTCAGCAAAAACTCACCTTCATTCCTCTGATCCAAGGCCGACTTCATCACCAGACCGGAGAGCGTCTTCTGGCGTTTAAACATCTCCTCCAGAGCCCGACAACGCTTCACCTTCTCCAGGTAGGCATCGTGCAACTTGTTGTACTTCTTCTTGTGCTGCTGCACTGTTTCCACAGCCCTATCGCGTTCCTCCTCCATTTGGAAGGCCAAGATCTTGGCCTCCACATTGATGGCCGCATTGGTGCTGTGGTCGGAAGAGGCTCGATTGAGGCGATGGCGCAGCAGAATGTTTTCCTCCTCCAGCTGGGCACTTCGGGCTTTTGCTGCATCATTTTTTTTCCAAATTTTATTCTAAATATTAAGTATACGCAATATTACTCATACGCACCGGCTGCCAGCTCTGCATAGAGCACCTGCATGGCGGATGTGTTTCGTTTCTCCATTTAATTGAATTTTGTTTGGGGTTACCTTTTAGAATTACTCATATAGACCAAGCACGACCTAAGAACCTTTTGTTGCTGAAAAGTGTAAAGATAAGCTATCAATATATTTATTAGCAGATATGGTTGCCATTTTCAAAAAGAAAAAAATACCAGTTTCAGGGTCAAGAAGAATAATGAGATATAATTTCATTTTTAATTGATTTTAGATGTTTAAGTTAATTAATCATTTAAATAATTAATTAAATTCTAGAGGTTTCAAAGCCTATAGACGCTTTTACGATAATATGACTTGGGTTGTTGTATTGGCTAACATGCCTTTATCGTAAGACACGGTCACACCGTCAAGACAGGTTGTGTAGATACGTGTTTCAGTTACTTTTTGAAATTTTAAATATTATTCTTTAAAAATATATTTAAAAATTCTAAAACAAAAACCTTTTAATACATTTTTTTTTTTTTTAATTAAACAACCATATTTTTTTGTTTGTCTATTACAATAGATTATTTATTTTTTGTTTTTGTTTCAGGAGTCTCATTGTTTTCATTTTATACATCATCTTAATTAGTTGATTTTCAATATTTTCTCTAAGTAAAAATATGTACTCTTAATCGTATTCTTTTCGCATACAATATATATATATAATTATATATATCTAATGTGAGTTTTCTGCACCTAAGACTCACATGCTGCCACGTAGCCTGTTTTTAAAATCGTTCTTCAATAATATATATATGTATATATAAGTTATGTTTCAGACACACCTATCTCGATACGAACTCTAGGCTAGTCTTAGGTACTTATCAATGTAGAATTGTATATTTATATATATTTATTTATTTATATGGATGTATCTAAAAGTGCAGGGGGAGCAGTCGGCATCCTACACCTTTACTAGTACACGTGGCTGGCTGGTGTAAACATAGACTTAGTTTAAACCTTTTAATTAACTTAGTTATATTCTTGCATCGCTTAAGGCTACATAGGGAAATGAACTGGATTGCACTTCCATCTGTGTGTATATTTAATTGATATTTTTTTAAGGCATTATCGCATTTAAAGTACATCATTCGGTTTTAAAATCTAAGCTAGACTTGCGGTTAAAACAGGGAATTAAGGAATTTTTTATTTAAAACTAGTCCGTGTCTACTTTTCTCATTCGAACCCTTCTCTCTCGGCTTGAGGACTTTTCCCCAAAGATTCTCTAAATTCTCTAAATGTATTGCATAAGAATTTCATTTCAGCGTGTTTCAAGTTCCTTCTATCCTCCTCTCCAGACCTTGTCGTTTTCAATAATTTTTTAGTGTTTTATTTTATTTTGTTGTTGTTGTATACTCACACATTGTTTCACAGCACAATTTCCATTGACAATTGTTTATATGTTCGGATCATTCGGATCATTATTCCCCCATATGCTATTCTCCCTGGCCAGTTCTCAGTTCCCAGTCTCACATCGAAACCGAGATTGCCGAGAACAGTGAAACACATCCTCCTACCTACACGCCTGTTCCTACTCCTGGGTCGGCACTCCTCCTCTATAAAATACATTACAAAATATGCCTATCACAACGATCTACGTCTATCCTACAATACGCTACTAGTGGCCTACTAGGATATCCCTAATCTAACGCCTGGCTAACTGAAAACTGTCGGGAATTCGTGTTCGTGTTCAAAGAACTTCTATTTTGGATGAGAGTCTACAGGTAGATCTGAACACTCGGTCCGTAAGTACAATGAGCAGCATCCCACACATCCTAGCTTAAAGCTACGCGACATTACACTAAGCACTAAGCACAGTTGGAGCGCTCCTCCTCCTCGTCGTCATTGTCGTTGATGAGTTCGTTTCGGTCGTCGTCTATCTGGATCTTGTGATGCGACGAATTCCGAGTGTGCAGAGAATGCGGATGAGCATGCGATGCACTGGCGGGAACAGTCTCCGGCAGTATCTGGTAGTTCAGATCCTTCGAGTTTGTGCGCCGATGGCGCAGCACACTGAGACCCGCACCCGTGGCAGTGGCGTCCATTGCTGTGGCTTGTCCAGCGCTGGTGTTCGACGCCGTTCCACTGGGAATTTTGGTGTTCAAGTCCTTGGAGTTGTTTCGCGAATGACCACGAGAGCCACTGCCCCCCGATTCCATCTCATTCGAATTCTTCAGCTTTCCCGAATCGGACACCACGTTCTTCAGGACATTGACGTTCTTCTTGGGATTGTGATGGGCGTGGGGATGACGCAGGAAGTCCGCATCGAACCGGATGTTGTTGGGCATGTATATCTGGTCGTAGCTGTGATTCCGCGAGTGCTTCTTCACAAAGTGTCCACATCCGGTGGTGAGCTCGTCATCGTCGTCCTCCTCGGCGCAGTCCTGCGGTCGCAACTGGTTCTGAATGTATCGGATGGGCTGGCTGGAATCGTGCAGATCCGTCGAGTGGTTCCGGGTGTGGGCCTGGAACTTCTTGAGATTCTTGTATTTGTTGCTGGCCCCGGCCTCCTGGCCGGCGGCGTCTGCCGGGCCACTCGACGAGCCGTGGTCCCGGGCAAAGCTCTTGATCATCTTGACGTCGCAGGAGGCGCTGCGGAAGTGCTTCTTCGACTTGGTCTGCGGCTGGTTGCAGGTGTTTGTGGGGGTCACCACATGGCCGCACTTGTCATAGCTGGGGGGATTATCAAAGAGAGTTAGGGGCTACCTTTAAATAGGTACCTTCATCCATACTAACCAGTAGTCCATTTGCATGGTGCGGGAATCGTTGCGGGAGTGGCGGAGGATCTCTGTGGGTATAATCAGTTCTCCTCCGCTTCCAACAAGGGTTGTGGGTGGTTCCGCACCAGAACGCTTCTCCTCGAATACTAAGATGAATAGGATTATTTTATGAACCCTTCTATATCTCAAGAGGATTAGAAACCTACATTTATCTAGGCTTATGATGGATCCAATGATGGGATCGCTGGCATTCAGGGGCTTCATCTTCTCCAGCTGCTTGCGCCTTCGCACCAGCCACCAGTCCACAATGAAGATGAACAGAGCTATCAGCTTGACAGTGGCACACAGGCCCACATATCTGGAAAAGATCCATCAAATAGTTAAGATCCTCTCTTATATAAACCCTATATCCGTATCATACTTGTATCGGAACTTCTCAATGTCGTAGATGAGACAGCGGCCGCCCTTCTCGCCGCAGGACGACTTCCACAGCAAGCACGTGGAGTCGATGAGGTTGCCGAAGAGTATGGGGGCTGGGATGTAGCCAAAGAGCCGGAATATAACGAACTGCATGCCCAGGGCGAAGGAGCGCTCCTCCTCGGACACCGATCGCAGGACAATCATCAGCAGGGGCATCTGCGTGGAGGCCACCACGAACGTCATGAAGAAGAGCAGGATGAGGAAGGGGTAGATGGTGCGGCAGGGCGTCGCACAAGGACCGGCAGTGGCCACTGGCACCACCGTCACCTCGGCAAAGTCCTCGTTGGCACTGAGCGCCTGGGCCTGGCTGCCACCAGCGCCCCGGTACAGGCTGCTCGAGATGTTGGCGTGAACACCTGGAGGGAGGACAAAGGATTAGTAAAAAGGATTGGAGACTCAAGGATCCACTCACATGCACAATTGGTATAGTTGGAGCTGGAGGAGAAGGCCGTGCAGCCGGCGTGGCAGGGACTGAAGTAGGTGAGACCGTTGTTGCCGCACACCGGCTCCACCTCGCTGGTGAGGCACTCGCATCCAAAGTTGCAGGCGGCGGTTAGGTTCACCTGGAAGGGTTCTATGGTCGCGCCGGGCTTGTTGCTGGTGTAGTAGGGAATGGTGGTGCCGGCCATCTTGAGGTTGTCGCATCCGAGGAAGAACAGCATGGCGTAGCAGGCCAGGCAGATCACGTTGGTGATTAGGACGAACTGCACCGCGCCCTTGGGCTTCAGCTGGAATCGCTTCAGGATGCAGCCGCCCAGGAAGATGCCAATGCAGGCACCCGGCACCGCAATGGAGCCCGTGAAGATGTTGGCCTGGCTCTTGCCCAAGCTGAACTGCGTCTCCAGATACTTGGGCAGGAAGACCACGAATCCCGAGACGATCATCAGTTCCATGCAGGCTCCCAGGCAGGTCACTATGTAGACGGGATTCTTGACCAGCCGCAGCATCGACTGCGGTATGTCCTTGATGTCCTTGCCGTAGCCAGTGTCCACCTTGGGCGGCGGCTGGGTCTGGTCCTCCTTGCTGGTCACCGCCACGATCTCCACCTTCTTCACCTTTCCCATCTCATCGGTGGCCACAGTGGCTCCGGAATTGTTGGGCAGCGCCGGCTGCACCACACTGCTCTTGCGGATCTTCTTTTTCTCGCCGGCCAGGACCTTGGGGAAGGAGAAGAACGGCACGGCCACCACCAGCAGGACGACGCCGCAGAGCAGGAAACCGCCCCACCACATCCCCACCCATCGCCGGTCGCCAGGAGCTGCAATGAAAGGCAGGTTATTATGAGGATGACCTCTGCTAGGAGCCAGGAATACTCACTGATGGATATGATGGTGGAGGACAGGGAGTCCATGTGGAAGGAGAGCAGGTAGGCGCCCAGCAGGAAGCCCACCACCGGCCCAAAGGCCCCCATGCTGTACATGAAGCCGATGTACATCGAGGAGCTCTCGGTGCGCACGTGGTCGTCCACGTAGGTGGTGCCCAGGGTGAAGAGCGGGCTGCCGCCGCAGCCGAGGAGCAGCTGGGCCAGGACGAAGAGCAGAACCGGGCCCGTGGTGGAGGCCTTGCCCTCCAGGCAGTTGTCCTCGCGGAGAGTGTGCGGCGCCAGCGGCTGGTTGGACAGGCCGCTGGAGAGTCGGCCCAGGTCCATGTCCTGGTCCCGTACCAGAGCACTCTTGCAGATGTTGTCGCTGCTCTTGTTCTTGATGGCAATCCCGGGATTGGGCTCCCCCGTGAAATGCGGCACCATGAACACCAGCGACCCAATGCCCATGATCACCGCCCCGATGCCAATCCAGACGGGGATGTGCCGCCGGCTGCCCAGGTAGCTGACAAAGATCACCGTGATGACGTTGCCGATCTCGTAGCTGGAGGCGATCAGGCCCGAGTAGCTGGAGGGGATCTCGAAGCGCTTCTCGATGGTGGTGATCACCGAGTTGATGTACCCCGAGCTGAGGGCCTGCTGCATCATCACCAGCAGGGAGAGCAGCAGGACGAAGATCTTGATGCGGGCGAACCTCTGGATGCCATACGGCCGGCAGTTGAGGATTCCGCAGTCACCCGACCGGAACTGCTCCTCGTCAAAGTCCTCCTCCGGATCCTGCACCGGACACTTGCCCGCCGACGCCTGCCGGCTGTGGCACTTGACCATCACACTATCCGGTCCTACTACTCCTGTCTGAGCCACCGCATCCCCGGCCAGGTGGTGGTCCTGGTCGAGGGCCGCATCTATGCTGCTGTCGTCGCCGCTGTTCGTCTCCGAGTAGAGGCCGGTCATCTGGTACATCGATTCCTGCCGCCTGCAAGAGAGATTCATCAGCACGAGGGATGTGACTGGCTCTGGCTCTACACATGGTAGCCGAACCCCACAGCCAAAGCCAAAGCCAAGGCCAAGGCTCAACTTGGTCAGATTTAACAAAACTTTCAAAAAAAAAAAAAATATAAACAAACATTAACAGATGGTGATTAAGTCGGCTAGGAAGACCCGATGGGCTGGCCAGTCCAGTTTAGGAGGAGGGAACTAGTGGTCCTAGTCCTTTGGATCCATCTTGAATGGCCATAAGCCTCGTCCTTGCTGTCAGGACCTCTAACGGCGGCCTAGAACTTGGCGATGGTCGGTCCAAGGACGCCCCAGGCCGAGGACGACCCGGCCTCCCATTCAATGTCAACCACTCTGGGCTCTGGGCCAACTACCCTGCCACCACTCCCTCTCCCTTACTTGGCTTGGCTATAGCTCCTCTTTGGAGTTCCTTCGGCTGGCAGTGCACGCGGAGGACTGCGGATGGAGTGGAGCGCAGGCTTCCAGCTCACGTGCTCGCTGCCCCGGGACTTGTTTGTCACGCTTCCTATTTCCTTGGGTCTATATGGTTAAGGAGTGGGGGTCTCCGAGCTCTAAGAACTGGAGGCCAGGGGGCTAGGCCTTTGAATATTTCAAACTTGACCGACTCATCGTAATCGACTGTTATCGATTGGCTCTGACGGTGGGGGAAGGCACTGCAGTCTTGTGAATTATTAAGCCTATTGGGGGGCACCACCACCACCCTGCCACCCCCTACACCCCACACCCCACCACCCCCCTCACAATCTAATTATTGGTATTTGGAGTATCGGCAAATAATACTTCCAAGGCGAGCAAGTGTCGAATTATGTAAATAGGAGTAGCACCGATTTCCTCACCTGTGACCTTTGCGATGTGTCGTGCCGGCATCGTTGCCGGCGGTGCCTGTTCCCGCAGCTGATGGTGCTGCTCCTGCTCCACCCACCTCGGACTCCTGTTCGAAGGATGGATTCGTATACTGTTCGATGTGCTTGCCCGACGACGACATCGTCAACCATTTAACCCAGCTGGCAGCTGGCGGTGGAATTGTGAACTGCGCTCCAATCGATCAGCTCTGCGGCATATCCTGCAATATATAGAACATATATTAGGAGGTGGTTGGAGGTTAGGAGGGCTTGGCCAATGGCCCCGCGGGAGTGTCATTAGGGAATTTCTCGCCCACACACACAAGTCCGTCCCCAGTTGATGACGCCGACAATTACTTCCTGAAACGCTCGCCCCATTGCCACACTAATTGTGGCCCCAAACAGAAGAGTCATTGCAACTCGGGCGGAAACGTGGGGCAGGATAATTACGGAAGGCGCCATCAAGCTCCTCGCTCTTCGTCCTTCGTCCTGCTGACTGGCTGGCTGCATGAGAAGGATGCTTGCTGACGCCGTCTTCTATTAAAAGCTTTTCTCTACATGCTGGTACTCTAGAGCCTGCCAGCCTGCCAGTCTGATGGTCATATGTGTGAGGCCTTACATCCTTACATCCATGAGATGCAATGTATCTGAGAGACTAAAACAGAGATTCTTTACTCTGGTAGTAGCTTTAGTAGCTCCTATTACTAATCTAAAGACTTAAATCCATACCTTTTCCATCAAAGTATCTTAAAGATTGAAAGAAACCCCTCCAATAGCCATCCTCATAACCCATTTGGGTATCTATTCCCTTGAGATACGACCATAGGCATCATCCCTCAAAGAAGGGCTCTAGAAACCTGCCATTCCATCTTTGAGATACAAAAAGATTCCCGCCTGAGAGCTGGCAGTTGGCTTTTCCTAATGGGCCACCCAAGCTGGCAAAGACCAGCAGACCACGCCACTTGAACACGCCCCCCGCCCCCCGTCACACGCCCAGGAAAAGTATATCGATTGCCTCGAGAGCCTCAAAAGGAAATATGAAAATCAGCCAACTAATTGAGGATTTTCCGAGAAGCTATGGAGGCAGATAGACGGCCGCTTAAGTTTGATTTAGTGGCTTGTATTAGTGTCCTAGTACCAGCACTTCTGGTCTCTCCACTGGCCAGTTAATCAATTTATCCAGCCATCCCAGGGAGATGCCCTCCAGTGGTGACCCACAAATGGCTCTGGCTTATTGCTTCCATGTTCCACATTTTGAAATATTGTATCTTTTGGTGTCACAGATGCTGCAGCTGCCCCCTCGGCTGGAAATGATGATGAAAGAGGCCACTTTTTTGGCCGATTGCCAAACAGGAAAGTACCCTAGCCCCCCACCAGAGATCAGAGGCTCTCCAGTGATGCAATTCTTGAATAACACACCTCCCTAATTGGAGCACAATCGGAAGTGTTTTCGTGTCTATCAGAACATCGAAAAATGTATACATTTCCGCGATGTAATCCATTTCCCACAAAAAGCGTATTATTTTTTGTTGGAATCTCGCATGAGTTGCACAATGCGATGTAATTAAAGGGCAACAAGGCCCTCGAATATGAGTGGTTGCATAACCTGACATGGTTCATCTCTGGCTGGAAGAAGGCAGCTGTCCAGGAGTCGAACCTGCTGCGGTGAAAGCGGCCACAGAAGCCATCAAATTGAGGCAAGTTTGCATTTTTTGAATCTCAAAATTAATGATGGACAGGTGGCCAGTTGTATAAATTCCATTAAGAGGGAAGGGATAAAATGGGTTAATGGATTATGAAAAAAGATAAACCATTTTATTTCAGACAGTCTTTTGATTAAAACAGAAGAAAGATTTATATAATTCTACAGAAGTGGGAGAGAGTTTTTCATTGAAACTTGGTTAGGAATCCCTGGGGATTCTAAACTAAAAGTTTAAATCTATATTTAGTTATTTTCCCATTAAATCTCCCCCAGGAATCCCTGAGGAAAACAAAGAACAAAGAGTTCAAAGCCGTATTTAAAATTGGGAAAGTACAATTACACATAATTAATATTTCATTAAATCTCTCTATTTAATCTTTAAGGATACTAATACTTAAAATTCAACATTAAATATTAGAAAGTATGATAATAGGTATTTTTATATCGAATCTTCTTCATACAAAAATTAAACTCTAAAGACACTACTTTTATTATTCTTTCCTTTAAATCTTATCACGGATTCCCTAAGGAAACTAAACTAAAAGATTAAATCAATATTGAACACTAACTAGGTATAATCATAATTATTTTATCATAATTTTATTAAATCGAATCAAAAGTTCAAATCAATATTAAGGAAGTATTTTTATTATTTTCTCTTAGATCTCATCGAGGAACCCCTAAGGAAACTAGACCTATAGTTGAAACTCCTTAATGAATTTTAAAAAAATACAATACTACGCTGCATTCCAATAAATCTCTTCAACAAAGTCCTATAGATACTGAATTCAAATCAAAATAAAACATTTAATATACGGAAATTACAGTACTAATTATTCTTCTACCCTTTTTTTATTTAATATAAATTTTTCCATTCAATCCTTTTTCCCTTAATATTTTCCTTAAGTATATCTCAGGAATTCCTAAGGAAACTCAATTAAGAGTTTAAATTATTGTATATTATTCATGATAATATTATTAATATTATTATTTGTACTTATAGCATTTTTATAGTTTTTATAGTATTGTATATTAAATAAGTACAATACTAATTATTTTTCCCTGCTGTTTCTACTGAATCTGTCTATATACCTAATGAATCCTCAAGATAAATAAACTATTGATATTATTATTCTAAATAAATAATCAGAATAATTTAGTAAATTTATTTTTACCGCAAATTTTCCCAACCAGAGCCACAAATGACAAAAATCTCCCATTCAGAAACCGTAACAGGTTGATTTTCATTCACAGAACGCTTCAAGTGACTTTTTATAGTACACCTTGTGGCTAGATCTTGATGGCTTTGCCGATCACGCCCTCAGGGGGTTATTCCGCCGGCCATGAAGATGCAGATCACGCACCAGTCTGGGTTCCTAATCGCCCCATGGGTCTACGGAGTCCGGATCTTTCTCCAAGTAATCTCTCAGTCTTTGTCTCGTGGTCTTCCATGAGAACATTGAACTCCACCGCAATGGCTGATGTAATTAAATGAGACAATGAACAATTCCGGTGACAATCAACAAGTGCGAACTGAAAACTGAAAAACCGAAAGCTGGAAAGATTTATTTCATGCGATTCTTGGCCAAAATGGTAAAGGTCAATGGAGGCTAGGTCGCGGGGCGGGTTAGAGGCGGGCTCTTGGCCAAAATACCTGTCGTAGCCAAATACGGAAACCTGTCCAGTTGGCGAGATTTCGGCTGGATGGATGGATGTGTCATTTCTTAGTCACTGCTCTCCGCTACCCGTCTCTCTCTATCACTGGCTTGCCATCTCTCTTGTTTCTCCTCATTGAGTTCATTTTTAGAATTTTAATGGCAATTTTGGAAGAACAATCAAAAGTATAAGGAAAGTGAATACAATAGCCGGGCCATATAAGCTCTGAAAGTGCATATCTGTATGCAGCTACAGGCTACAACACAACCCAACAGATACAGATACATATATACAGATACAGATACAGATACACAACAGGAAGTGAAGTTTACAAAACAAGTTTTTTTTTGTGAGCGCGGTTTCTTTGCTAATTTTTGTTGTCAGTAGATACTCGTACTGGTAGATACTCGTACTTGTAGATACTCGTACTGGCAGATAAAAAGATACAAAAACACTTTCTCGGGCTGAAAGCTTTAGTAACTAATTAGGAAAGAATTACTGATAAGAACTACTATATAAGGAGGCTCCAAGATAAGGTCTCAGAGGAACAAAGACTAGTGCCTCTTGGAGGGCCATATAGGGCCTGGGAGATAAGACTGCGGGCATCATAATTGTATCTCTCAGGCCCAATTACTCAACTTTTATATAATAAATAAGATAAACTAGAAGACTGCGTTTCAGTTCTTGTTTAAACAGCTGTTTCTTACCTCAACTTTGATAGGAAGACTCTTCAAGGTTAAGAACTCCAAGACATTAAGGCTATTTTATGGCCAAAATTATTTAAAAAACTATATTAATTTATAAGAAATAATATAATATGCTCTATAGCTCGTCTCCAAGTGAGATCTCTAGCCAGAACGAGAGTCTCGCAGTGATAAGCCGCATTTCGCATTCAATTATTCTGATTCTCGGGATGTGAGATTATTCAGAGGCTTGACCCTCTGACCTACATTCCAGCTACATACTTTTTATATAATATTTTTTGTTTACTATTTGAGACTCTGACGAATTTATTGACGCAGTTAACCAGCCAGGGAAACAGATTCTAGAGTTACTGGAAATATGTACCTTCCCCTTTTTGTGAATCTCTACCTCTACAGGCACTCTCGAGTTTCCAAAGCCCACCCCTCGATTGTAATTATTTGGCTTTTGGAATTTCGAAAAAAACTCGTTTTAAGCTCTTTGTTTTAAATTACTTGGCATGGCTTCCGTGGAGAACTGGAGAACTGGAGCCACCCACCCAGATGGCCCGTGAAGCAAATCGGTGTGTGAGTTAGATGGAGTGGATCGGATTACAAGCCCCTGTTCCCAGTTGGAGCAACGGAGTGCCAAATAATCCTCTTAGTCAGCTTTCAGTTCAGTTGAGTTTTTTGGAACGAAAAGTATCTGTATCTAGAGTTGTATATCTGTATCTGTATCTGCAGCTGTAACTGGGACTGAGACTGAGACTGCCACTTAATTGCAAAAGTCACATGTCACCGAACCGAGTGGCGGTCTGGGAGGGTGCATTAATTCATGGCCCAAGATCTCATCCAAAAGTGTGCTGGCCCCTCTGGCTGATTCATTCTGAGTCTCTGCTGATCTTACAGGCCTTTGTCTTGCTGACCTCGTTTGGCCCTGATCAATTGAGAGTATCTGCAAGATACCAAGATACTATTTAATCACCGATTTTAGCTCAAGAGTTCTTGTCTCTCTCCAAGTGGGTGTGTTTCTGCAAACCGGTATCTGCATCTGTGACTCCATCACCCGTTCGACCAGCTTACCCGTGAAGGCCATACTTTGAGGTAAATAGAAAGACATGGTTAAGTCTCCAGATAAGAATATTATACAACCTTACCCTTGAGGGGATAAATCATAAACCAAATAGACTGAAAAACAACCACTTCAATAATGGCCATAAAACAACTGTCTTTAGATACTTTCCATCTGGGCCCTGACGTCACATCCTCTTGGATAATAGCTCTAGATCTAGTAGAGTCTAAAGCTAAACCTGAAGCAGCTGATAAAATAAGAGACGCAACCGCCTGGGAAATGAATATATGGCCCTCGGTAGTCAGAAGTAAACAAAAACCCAGTTATTAAGGCAAACTTTAAGCTGAAATCAGTACCCAGTTGGGAAGTTTTGGGAATTATAAAGATGGGAAATAATTAAAATGGCAGTCCAGATGTCTACATTTCAAAGATAAACAAGATTTATGGATATATGGCCTATATATTATAGAATATCTGGACTCAAAAACCAGAAAAAAGGAGTATATGAGTTTGTGAAACCAACAAAATCCAAAAACCTGGCCAGAATCAGTTACCAATAGGCTGCCGGGTCGATGTCGCAGTTCGATCGCCAAAAATAACTCATACGCCGTGTGGACCCAACAATGTCGTGGGAGGGGCGACTTGGCAACGCGTGCCCCAAACGATTAAAAATAAAAAAAAGGCAGCCATGGCCGCAGTGTCTTCTAAATGTTTACACAAGAATCGGAAATGAGCTGATAATGAAAGAAAATCATCCCAGACCCCAACTAGCCCCATCTAGCCCCATCTAGATAGATCGGATTAGCTTCTCCTCCAAGATGTTTCAAGTCTGTGGCTTTGTTTGTTTGTTTCTCGTTTTGTTTGTTTAGCTTGGAACTTCATCTTTTCAGCTGACGAGGGATTACTCTCCAAAAACAAAGAAACTAGAGGCCTTATGAGTTCCATTCTATGAATATTAAAAATCTTTCGTTTCTAATTTCCAAAAAAAAGAAAAAGAAAGTGATTCAAGTTTTTTTTTTTTTAAATTCAGACCACATAGCCCTGGAACTCTTTTATAAAAATTTTTATCAAAAAAAAAAACTTGAAATGCATTCCATGGAGAGGAAAATTGAACTAAACTCTAATTGGCGTGTGTGCAGGGCACAACAAACACACAACACACACACATTACTATAGGAACTGACCTAAAAACGCCAACATGCGACAAAAAATAACAACAGGAAAAGTTTAAAAAAAAAAACAAAATTAAATAAATAGGTGAGTGAATGAATGAATGAGGGAGTGAGTTAGTGAGTGAATGGGTGGCCCTAAATCTCATACAAAAAAGGCATTTGTTGTTATTTGTTGTTGTTTTTTTTACTAAAATTTACTAAAATGGTTTTGTGGCTGAGCCCCCCCCCCATCAAAAATTTTCGTACAATTCCCGATTTCTTTAGCTTGGCTTTGTTTTAAAAAATAAAAAAAAATCGCGCTTTCTCCCCGCCTGAGAATGAGAAACGAAAACAAAAGTCGAGTGACGAATATGAGAAACTTTATTTTCAGACTCGATTTCAGACTCGTAAAGCCCTCAGATCTATAATAAAATCAGGAACTAAAAAAAGGGGGGGAACCTGCCAAGATGTAAACACCATTTGTTTAGCACTTTGTGTGTTTCGTTTTTTTTTACGACTTTTTAATTGCCACTTTGAGTTTGAAATTCTCAGAGCTACTCAGTTTGGGGTAATGGGTAATGGGGTATATTTCCACTTAGGAAGCCCTGCCTAAATAAATATTGGCAGAAAAACTACTTCTTTAAGACTGTTTTCTGCTGACTTTTGAGGCTAAAAGTTAATTAAAATTAAACAGAGAACCCATTTTCACAGCAAAATTAATCAATTTTGAAGTACTTTGAATTATATAACGAAAGCACACCATCGACCAACCTCCTCTTGCTATAGAGATTATGAAAACATTTCCGCCTATGACTTTTAAATGAAATTAAATTCAATGCTCGCTTAAAGGCGTAATTAGACAGTGGTATGGTGGTATGTACATATGTATTATAGTATATATGTATATGAAAACTCATTCAGCGATTACACAAAAAGCCAAAGCAGAGCCAAACATTTCACCGGCAAAGATAAAAATAAAGACACAAATCCAATACCACAGACAGCACATCGAACAAAGGCAATAAACCAAGGTAGTGGCTATATAGAGTCGGGGGTATAGTGGTACTGGTATTGGAAAAATAAAATGAAAAGTTTTAACGGCTGTGACTTCCAACCCGTGTGGAAATCAATCAAGAAGAGGCAGCAGCGAAACAGTAAAGATTCTTTAGAAAATCTAGTTTAAATGGGGCTTGACTAATTTAAGAGGTTTTAACTTTCGATTTCAATGATTGAAATTCAATGATAGATTGTTTTTCTAAAAAATTTTTAAGAATTTAAGAAGAATTCAAGATTAAGAAGAACTTTTAAACAAGATTTTTATCATAATATTAAACGAAATAAAGTGCAAAACTATGTAATACCCGGTAATCTTCTCTTAGACGTTCAAGGATCTTTGAATATACCTCTTAAATGCTTTACTCTCTCCTTAAATGCACTAACTACTCTTGAACAACGAGTAGGAGTACCGGGTATAGCTTCAATAACCTTTACTCTTCTACTTCTCTCTTCATTTACAGAAGAACAGATTCTACAAAGCTTCAAAGAGTAGATTTCTAAAATAAAATAACATTGTATACTCTTTTTGGATTTGAAACAAGCCAGTGGGGAAATCTAATAAAATAGTCTTAAACTCTACAAGTACCGGGTATAACTACAATAAACTTAACTCTTCTACTTTTCTCTTCGCTTACAGAATAACAGATTCTACGAAGTTTCAAGGAATAGATTCCTAAACTAACATTTTATTGCATACTTTTTGGGGCTTTGGAAGAAACCAGTAGAAAGTTAGAATAAAATATTCTATTGTAGTATAATATTAGATATTACCTTATGGGAAAGGAAGGAAGATACCTTATCTCTTTTTTAGATAACATCGTACACAACTTGAATACATTCTTAACCTCTACAAGTACCGGGTATAACTATAGGAGATAACACCTTCTCTCTCTCTCTTAGATAACACTCTCTTAAACTCTCCAAGTTTAACTTACAGCTCCCATATCTCGTATCCCTTATCATATTCCTGCCCCAAATCATAGACTTTTAAGAGCAAAAGTTCAATGCCCCCTCCTCGTTGAGAAACAAAAGTTCTCCTATCGAAAAGTCCTTAAATCCCTGACGTTTTAATCGATTTTCCCACATTTTTCGCCAATTGGAAAAGTTATCCCTCTCGTTCCTCCTCACCCCCGCCCCCCTTTGGACAGCCAACGTGTTCCAACTGCAGTCTCAGCTTTTGGAGCTTTGTTTTTCAACTTTGATTGATATTGTGTGACACATTTGGCGATTCAATTTCAATTTTCGACACAGTTACTGTTGCGTTTTAGGTTTTTTGGCGTTTTCGGCGTTTCCCTGCCGTTGTCTGCTGTTTTCGGGCCGCAAAAAAATGTCACGTAACATCCCATCTGGCCCATTGAAATGCTAACGACATGATTTTTCCCAGCTATTCCCCAGTCATGTGTGTGGGAAGTTCATCGAGGTACATAGTTGGCAAAAAACTCGATGACGGCTGTAGACTGAAAAAAAATGATGGAGAGACTCACCGTCACCTGGCTTTCCTTGCGGCTGGACTTTGTTTTTCCTCCTTTGAGATTCTTTAGATCATTTATTCGCGGTTTTTTTAAGGATTTTATTTAGTTTGGTAACACTGAAGATTTTAAGAGATTCCTGAAGTGTTTTTGGCAATGATTTTTCACATTTTTTTGTTACTCTGAAAAGAAAAAACCAATAAGTTACTAATGGAACATCCTTCTCCTTGAAGTACAAGGAAATATAGAGCTCTCTTTGTGCCTTCTCAAGCCTCTCTTGTGAACATCTGAAGCCTTTTTCGCTCTGTAAGTGTCCTCGCAGGTAAATCTTAGCCTCTCTTCATGCCATCTGGAGCCTTTTTCGCTCTCTCTGTGCCTCGTCAAGTGATCTAAGACTCTCTTGTAAACATCTGAAACCTTTTTCCTCTCTCTCTGTGTCCTTTCAGGTGTTTTAAAGCTCTCTTGTAAACTTAAGGAGCTTTTATCCCCCTGTGAGTGTCCTCTTAGGTGATCTAAGCTTCTCTTTAAACCATCTGCATCCTTTTTCCCCTCTCTTTGTGTCCTCTCAGGTGATCATAGCCTCTCTTGTAAACCCTGCAGCCCTTTCCCCTCTCTCTCTGCTTCTTCCCAGGTGATCTAAGCCTCTCTTGCAACCATCTGGAGCCTCTCTCGCTTCACTGAACCAGACCGAGGGGGGGGGAGAGGAAGTAAAATGGATGGCGCTGAACCGGTTTACCTTTTCTTAATGAACCCCCAATAGAGAGTGGAGCGGAGTGGAGCTCTTTGATTTAAACACCGTTAGAAAGAGAGCACGCTCGATTATGTTTATACCTTATTGTTGTTGTTTTTGTTGGTTTTTTACTCTACTCTACTCTGCCTTGTGTTACGTGCAAAGATTTGGCAAGCCAGCAGCAGCTAATTGGGGCTACAGCCAGCAAAAGGGAAACAAAGAGAGAGAGAGAGAGAGAGGTGTTTTGTGGGGAGAGAGTCAGCCAAGCGCGAGAAATGGAACGAATATTGGAATTACACAGCAAGGTGTAAAGGCAAGACAATCTTTGAAATACATAGACCAAGAAAAAGATACAAATGTATCTTAAGGGTTTAAAACTAAGTCCTTTGACTTGAGACTTTCGAAATTAGATCTATTTTAAATATACAATGATTGTAACTAATGCTTTCCAGTCTCTTATTATCTTTGATATCTGATATCTTATGGATACACTGTATTTCAAATGAAAACATTTGGTTTCTTCAAGGCCCCTTGGTGGTGCATGTTTTCCTTAAAACCCTCTATAGAAAGTCTCGTTTCTTTGTTGAACTAATTTCAAATCAAAATTTGTCACAGTTGCGATAATTCCGATCGGGGAGTTAGTTGTTGGGAAACCTGTTTTGTATTTTTGTTTATAGCTTCGAGGAGGTAATGTTCCAAAGTAGCTGAATCATAGCCATGTGTACAGAATCTCATTGATTATTTATCGGCATTGGTTGGAAGAATATGATTTTGCCATTAGCACAGGTCTGCAAATCATTCCCCAATTGTCAAAAATCACACAAGGCAAGTATATAGCATGTAGTACACTATATATACTACTATATAGCTTTTTGTCAATTGTACTTGGCATGCGTTATTTTTGTTGGTTTTATGAGTTGCGTCGGTCTGGCAATGAACGATTATGCAAAAATAAATCAATTGAAAAGCAACAACGAGGAAAACTCAAGAAAATGCCACAAAGGAAACCTCAGTGGGGGAGCCCAGAGAGCAAGAGAGAGAGGTGGGGATGGTGGGGGGTGGAGGCTTCGGAATCTGTAACAAGTGCCTTTTCGAAGGAAAGAAAACAGGGTGTCCGTAGGCCAGAGCCATCTCTCTGGGCCATCTATTCAAAATTGGTGTTTCTATGGCACTAGACTGGCCATTTGGCAGGTTTTTCCATAATTTATTAGTGCATTTATGAATATTACACCTGGGAGAAGCCACCCTATCTCCACCTTTCCCAGATTTCTAGAGCGCGACGAGTCGGGGCCGCAGGAGGCCAGCCAGGAAAGTGGGAGGTGGGGGGTCGAGACAGAACAGATGTCCACACACATGGCCAGGAGAGAGGTAAGAGTACCTTGCTTTTATATCTGCTCACATTTGTTTCTCCGAGGTAGTGTTGCACTCCTGGCCCCCAAAAAGGACTCTTCGCAATTGCACTGTTATCACTTTTGTTTTGGATGGGTTTACTGACCCCTAATTGCACGTTATTTTTTCTGATTATGACTTTGGTTTTGGATCACACCAACACACACACATACACACACACACGGGCCGCCAAATCCGCGCGATTCTACTATTCCAGGCAGCGCAAAATCAATTCAACACCTCTTCTCTGGCCAACACACAAAAACAAAGGTAGCCGAATCACTCCGACGCAAGTCTCGACATTTCGGTTTGTTGTTGTCGTTTGTAGAGGTGGAGAAACATCGATAGGTCTAGATGTTAGAACTATCGATATATGTTTTCTAAATATATCGATGTTTCCAAAGTTGCCGTTTTAATTTCTTTTATTTCCTAATCAAAATAATACAAATAATTTTAATATTTCACCCAAAAAATAGTGAAATTTAGTAAAGGTATGGTAACTCCATATTTCCACACGAGCTTTACAACACTGTTTTTGATCGAATATTATTTGAATCGATAACTCGATAGTCTCTTAATTCCTAAGCGCCATTTTTTGAAAAACTGATAAGAAAACAGTTTTCTTTTTTTTAATTAAAACCCAACTTTAAAGGTAAATATACATTTATTTCATTTAATGATTTCTTGCTTTTCAACAATGTATGTAAATATTCAGCTAACGATTTTTGCTCTCTGGTAACGTACCTAATCATTAATTTCGAATTGCATTTAGGGCTTGTCTTAAGGCTATTATCGTTTTTGAAGAGAACTACAAGGAGTATGGTAATGGTTTAGTACAACTAATGGATTACAACAATCGATTAATACCACTTGTCATTGCCAGGGTCTCAATAAAATCAAGGTAGGGAAACAGAAACAGGTGTTCCATACATCTAACATACTGGTCTATGAATATATATATAGTTTAGGTAGGTGTATATATATCTTATGCTTAGGTTTATTCTTCATGAGTGTAGAATCACAGCCTTTTCATCGAACTAACAATGCAGTTCTGTTGTGTTTGAATTGTCAAGTATTTCGGTTTTAGGGTGATATTACATAGTTTTAGTCGCTTAGGCTAAGTTTAGTCGCTCATCGTACATAGTACCGACCTGTAATTAGCATTGTATTTTCGCTTCTGTTTAACAATAGTCGATTTTATGTTGCTAACTCTCTACTTATATACAAATAAATTATGTAAACTATATATAGTATGACATAAGTGCAATTGTGCAACTTTAGTTTAGGGACTTTTTAGGGACTATTCTCTGATTTAACAAATAATTCGCTAAACAATTTAATTCAATTGGTCACTAAGTACATTCAATCTAAGATAGTTCCCTCAAGGAAGCTACAAACAAATCATGGTCTACAGAACTAATACAAAATCTTTATAATAATCGGTGTCGAAGGCCACATATTTGATGTGAAAGCACATGTGATCGAGGTTGGTGTCCTTATCCTAGGTGTTTGCCGAGATAGCCGATGAGTTGTTGCAGGTTGGCCCTCGATCAGGTAATCGTTGTTATAATCTGATTCTTAGACCCATAATCGGTGATTCTGTAAGAGATTGAGATTCTTTATAAATAAAACAATTAAACTTAAGAGGTAGGGGATTATAAATATTTAAATAAAAAGACACAAAATCATAATAAACTCATAAACTCATGCACATAAAAATGTAAACTCAGGTCGTGCTGGGAAGATAGTTGCTTGTATTTTGTGCCTTTTTACCTATAGATCGATGAGGCTGATGTGGACCGCGACCATGTAACTAATAAACCCTCACCTCTGCTGCGCTCCCGCTTGCTTTGCAGGATGACCTTGGTGCTGTCATCCGGACAGAGCGAGATGCGCACGGTGGTCAGTAGAAGGCTGTAAAGGAAACCATTAGTAACTTGTTCTTGAGGTCTTAACAGAAACACCTACCGTGGCAGCACAGCAACCACTGTGGATAGCAATATCACCAGCCAGTGGACAGCGGAGCCAAAGCACACAAAGATCACCCAGTAGGTGGAGGGCAGTCCAAAGCAATTGACGCACATGGAGTTGTACACAATCGAGAAGAGGTAGAAGGAAGCCAAGCTGACCGCTATGGATATGACATGAAGCACGGTCTGTAGGAAGGGTATAACCATTAGCTCAAATAATAAGTAATAGTATTTAAAGTACTCTACCCAGGAACGTATTTCGATGGCACAGTGCACCAGGTTGGCAAACAGACAGGAGGCCGTTATGGTTGTTCCAAACTCCCAGATGCCGACATCGCTTTCCGCGTAGGCGCACAGCGCCACGAAGAATATCACCAGACTCTGGTAGAGAGCATCGAGCAGTATCACCCAAAAGTCGTGCGGCCTATATGCGACGCCCAACCGACCCTGAAATGACAGAAAGAGTAATTAATTGATATCCGGTTACTGAACAAGATTAATGGAACTCGTTTGTCCACTCACATTCTTGTAGAGATATGGATTCTTCAAGAGAAGGTCTTCGGGCACACGCTTGTCGTACACACCAATGGCCAGCGGCGGCAGGGAGGTGAAGATCAGGTTGTAGAGCATCAAGTACATCTGGTCCATCATCACGGAGCCAGAGAAGCCGCAGTACAGCTGGTACCAGAATATCAGAAAGACAAAGGCCTGCAAGGAAGACTGGCGGATTAGAGATGGGTCTAGACAGAGATGGGTTAGTCCTCCTACCGCATTCTTGTAAAAGAAGTACAGAATCATTCGGGAGAGTCGATCGTAGCACCAGTATCCGTGGGAGAGCAACACCCGCTCCAGGTAACGAAACCGGGACAGGGTGAAGTCGGCGGCCATCACAGCCTGCATGCCCTCCTGGCCGGAGATGCCGACGCCCACGTCGGCCATCTGGATCATGGACACGTCGTTGGCTCCGTCGCCGATGGCCAGCGTTCGCAGATTCAGCTCCTCCTTGACCACCTTGACTAGGTATGCTTTCTGGAGCGGTGTGGAGCGGCAGCAGAGCACCGAAGCGCAACGCTTGGCCAGACGCAGAAATGGCAGAATGAGTTTGGATCTGTGGGAGGGAGGAAGCGGTTAGGGTCTGATCTCAAGAGGGACCATGTCCAAGCTCACTTTGGATCCAGGATAAAGGTGAGGGTCTTGCCATCCACCACCAAGGCGCGTTGCTTCTTCCTCAGCGTCTGGCCGTAGCCCAGCGAGGACGTGGCCTTGGCATTCTCCATGTCAGTCAAATAGAAGTTTATGGCCGTTTCCGCCGCATCCCGAGATCGTGCTGTTAGCCTGGTTAAGGAGGAGGTCATTTGATGAAGGATTAGAGATTCTATAGCTCCACTCACTTGATCAGCTCCATTTGCTGGGTGAATAGCTTCGCCGAGTAGGCAATATTAATGGCCGTTTCGGGCTTATCCCCCGTCAGCACCCACACGGAGACACCGGCAGCCAGGAGCGAGGCTATCGTCTCGGGAACTCCGTCCTGGAGGCGATCCTCAATGCCCGTGGCTCCGAGCAGGGTCAGATTGCTCTCCAGCTTGGCGAACGAGTCGCGAAGTCTTCGCTCGCGATTCTCCAGCGACATCTCGATCTCCTGATGGCGGGCCCACCAATCGGTGTAGTCCGCGGAGTTCAAGGTCCTCTTGGCCATCACCAGGATGCGCAGACCCTCACGGGCATACCGATCCAGTTGCTGCTGTGTCTGCTCCCGGAGTATCCCTAAAATAGAAGTCCATGTCAAGTCTAATAGTCTCATCCTCTTCACTGGATACTCACCCTCGGGACTGTTGTTGGGGCAGGGGGCCAGCACTGGCATTATGGAGCTATCGGCTCCCTTGGTGTACAGGATGATCTCCTGGGTACCCGTGCGCCGCACCACAATCGACATGCACTTGCGACTGGAGTCGAAGGGCAGGATCTTGAGGATCTCGTACTCCACCGGGGTGGCCGAGGTGGGCATGCTGACCAGGATGTGGTTGGGACTGCGGTTCAGCAGGCAGCAGTCGTAGCTGTAGGCGGCATTCACCAGAGCCAGCTCATCGGGGCTCTCGGCCTCGTAGAGGGGTCTTCCATCGGCTGTCCTGTAAATCGTCTCCGACTTGGTCGAACTGGAAGATAGGAACTATAAGGATCTTGTGGGTAATTATGAATCTCCTCGAGAACTCACGTCATCTTCATCCGCTTGCCCTGGGTCTTGGCATTCAGGAAGGTGGCTATGCTGGTGATCTTCGAGTTGATGACCGCCTTGGCCCTTCCCGTGGGGGATATGCTGCTCGACAGCGCCTTGTTCTTCATTGGAGGGGATGGCGACTCGGACTCCGAATTGGGCGACGACTCCGCCGAGCTGCTGATGGGCGACAGCGTGGGCTGGTGGCTCTGGGCGGGCAGGGCGAAGAGCAGGTTGGGCGGCGGCGATGGCGTCACGGATCGAGACTCCGCCAGGCGGATGTAGCGATCGGCTGGAATGGAGGCTGGCTGCTGGGGCGCCGGTCCATTCAGGATCGTTGTGGTCGTGGTGGTGGTGGTGGTGCTGGCCAGCAGCTTCTGGCGCTGCTTGGTGAGCTTGAGGGTCGCCGGACTGCTGCCCGTCTGCTGCACCTCGATGATCCCGCTGGCGTTCATGAGGTCCCGGTGCGGGGCGGCGCCCACGATGACCGTGTTGCAGATGGCCAGCACCATGAGGAACTCCTGGATGCGCTGCGCTGGCGGCGACAGATAGGAGCCCGGCGTCAGCTGGGCCATGTCCCTGATCAGGTTGTCGTTGGGCAGCAGGGGCGGGGCCGGAGCTCCCGGCTTCGTGTACATCTCCTCCAGCTCGGAGGGCGGATGGTTGTAGTCCGCTCCGTTCACCACGCACCGTCGAAAGATCATCTTGTTCTCGGTTAGGGTGCCCGTCTTGTCGGAGAATATGTGCTGGATCTGGCCCAGCTCCTCGGTGATGTTGGTGGCCCGGCACTCGGTCTGCTTGTTGGTGTCGGGGTCGTAGAGATCGATGTTGTTGTGGATGTGGAACACCTGCAGGATCTTGCACAGCTCGATGGTCACATAGAGCGACAGGGGTATCATCACCTGCAGGATGATGATGTACCTCCAGAAGGACCACACGCCCTCCACGTCGGCGTTGACTTCGTTCGGTACGTAGGGCACCGGGAAGTTGATGGAGCTGTGCCACATGCGGCATCCGATGGCTCCCACCACGCAGAGTAGCAACAATATTATCACACACCTGGGGAAGGGATTTAATCCTTTAGAGGCATGGGAATGGAGTGGGTCAGTGGGTCACCTACCATATCACATCAATATTCATTTGCTGTTCCACCTGGGAGCGCTTGTACCTCGGACCACTGTTGTTCAGCATGGACTTTGTTTCATGTCCAGCATAGACCACGATACCCTCGATATAGTCCGTATTCTAAAGATATAAGATCGGGATTAGGTTCATAGATACTAAGGAGTATCGAGGTAGTAGACCCACCTTCAGTCTGCTCTCTCTCAGCAAAAGGCACTCGGTCGATATGGGCACACGCTCCCCAGTCGGATGGATTAAGGCCCCATGGAATCTATATAGCTTCGTTGTCGGCGCATCCGCCTCTACGCGACTCACAAACTTGCTGGGCACAAAAATGCTCTGCATCTCCTCGAATCCGCGCACCACCTGAAACCCCAAAACCATGTAGATATCATGAGGGATGTGGGAGGACCAAGCACTTACCTCGCGACGTTTCAGATTGGTTTCGCCATCCAAATCGCAGGTGTCTATGTAGCAGACCCCCTGGGGGTCACTTGTCCGCAGCAGGAGTATGTCCGCCGGCACGGTCTCGTTGTTGGACAGGTGGACGATGTCCCCGACACGCAGGTCCTGCCATTTTACCTTCTTGTACCGCTCCGTCTCCCTGGAATAAAAAATTATGGATTAACTAACTAGCTAATACAGATACTAAGTTTAAACGACTAGAACCGTCACGAAATGTCGCTCCAGTTGTCATACCCATGCTGTTTACTGTTTACCCATCATTCCGGAGGCAGTTCATCCAATATTCATGAAGGCATCCTCATAACCCAAAGCCCAATTATTGTCAAATGAACACCACGCGAGTCGATTTACATGCCCCGGTCTGGTTAGTGGGTCTGGGTAGGTGGTCTAAGGTCAGGAGCTGGGATGAGTGAGGGGGAGGATGAGGGCTTGCATGTGGGCAGGTTGTTAAAAGTCACAACCAAATTGCGAAATAATATGCCATCACTTGACCTCGGCCTTGGCCAAAAGATGATGATGGTTGGATGAGGTGATGGAGGTGGAGGTTACTCTGCGTCATGGTGAAAGCATTCCATTTAATTTCATGGCTTCTTCCATGTGTGGCATGTCAGCCAATAACGTCATCTTTGGCCTGCTTAGATATTTATGAAAGAGTCCAGGCCAGTCCAGTCCGAAGAGTTGGAAGCCAAAGGAAGTGCAAGGACAGGGACAAGGACAGGGTCCTGGACAGGGACACAAAAGCCGACATGGACATGGCCGTGGAAATAGTTATAGTCGAGAGTGTATCGCGTGTTCCACCAGGATGACCAGCACTGGCTTGGTGACCTTGTCGAGTCCAGATTATGGCTATGACATGTCCTGACAGCTCGCCTGTCACTCCACAATAACAACAACAATTACGGCCACCAGTCGGTCTGTTGGTGAAAGCTTTTCTTTTCCATCACTCTAATTGGGTCATTAGCAGTGTTGCACATTCTTGTGCCCCTTGTGGCACATTTAATTGTGTTTGTCTTTGTTGCCACAAGTTGCCACAGCGGATGTCTGCAGTTCTCCAATTAGGCCACCAGCACTTTCAAGACCACACTATCTACTATATATACTCCACTATCTGACAGTCTCTGATAAGATATTGATTTGTTGAGGGTTTTCAGTTTTTACTTTTTGGCCATAAAGACCTGGAGAGTCTTCTTGGAAAGATCCTACCTTTATCTGACACACCTTTCCTTATCTGATTAATGACTATATTCGATAACAATAATCAAAATAAATCGAACTCCAATTCAGGTCAATCTTATGACGATCATACTTTCCCTCTCGAACCCCGAGCTGATGACTTTCACTGGCGATTCTCTGATTTGGGTCAAGACTTACTCATCTTATAGATCTGGTCTCTGGTAATAATCATCCTGGGTATCATCCACCCACCAGGACATGCCTTCCCCCCCTGCCAAAGACCTCCAAGCCACCTAATTGACCCACCACCGACCTGGCCCTCATTGCGGATTCATATTTGCCTCGAGGGCGTCCCAACCTCTTGAATCTTTAATGCCCCTGGCGAGAGTGAGAGCCAACTGCAATTACCTCCGAGACTGACTCGATTTATTGGGCGTTTTCGCGAAATGCAAATTTAATGCGACTTTAACTCGACGATGAGCACGTTGATTGCCGAGTGCCGAGAGTTGTTTTCCCAACACCCCGAAAACCAAAGCAGAAAAAAAAGTGAAACTCACGCAACTTGGAGACCCAAATCCGGGGGTTTTTGTTTGGGATTCGATTTGGGGGGGATTGGGCTTAGATGGGCCTTGTTCTCTATAGGAGACTTCACCCCAGGCTCCTCTTCCGAAGGAGGTCTTGTTCTCTATAGGATACTTCACCCAAGGCTCCTCTTCCGAAGACGGCCCTTTCGAAAACCTTCCCTGGTTTGGGATTCGATTGGGGGGGGGACTGGGCCTAGATGGGCCTAGTTCTGTATAGGAGACTTCTCCCAAACCCATCTTCTGAAGGAGGTAGGCCTTCCGAGAACCTTTCCTGGTTTGGGATTCGATTGGGGATTGGGCTTAGATGGGCCTTGTTCTCTGTAGAATACTTCACCTAAACCTCCCCTCCCGAAGAAGGGCCTTCCTAGCACCCTCCTCCACTGACTCACTCCCCTGGAATCTCATCTATTAAGAACCCCTATGTGCTGCTATTGATCTACGACCCTAGGTCTTCTAATAGAGATCTATAGATCTATAGAGTACACTTTCCACTCAAATGCCTTCCTTATAAGTGGCCCGCTTGCGTCATATTGCGGTAGGAAATTGTGCTCAGTGTAGTGAAGCATGCATTTGATTATTTAGAGCTCCCATCTGGCCTCCATCCAGCCCCATCCATAGCCCCATATTCCCCTCTAGAATATCGTATACATGGAAATTTATGTGACCAAAGTGGGTCATGCATGTTCAGTGGAGGTAGTTATGGACCTGGGAATAGTAGGGTAATTTGCCTAAACTTGGCCAAATGCGCATGACTCCCTCGCCCCCTCCCTCCCTGGTCTACTCTGTTGGCCAAGTCAATAAAAATGTGGTGGAACATAAACAGGAACCGGGAGAATGGCTAGTTGTGGCTACAAGACTGTGGCTCTTATTTAAAAGCCATTTTCCATGGGCCTGGTAGAGTAAACATGCGTGGGCCCATGGAGCTACCAACCTGGCCAGACCCCAGGTCCAAATTAGGCAAAACCCAGTGGAGCATTAGCCAGGTTGGGTAAACACAGGGCTAAGGACCATACCCCGACACTTGTGGCTTTAATAATTTAGTCTTTAATAGGTACTAGCTAGATTAGCACATACTTGTTAGTGGCTGGGACTAATCGATATATGCTATATGGTCATAAATCATTCCCCAAAGAAGTGGCTTTACCTCCACCTCCACCTCCTCCTCCTGCTCCTACTCCTACTCCTCCACTGACAATGACATCAACGTTGGAAACCACCGACTTCCATTAATGAAAAGTTTACAGACAACTTCTAGGGCCACCCACACCCACTTTGAAGGTCGTCCTTGCAATGTCTATCACGCTGAGCTCAGCTGTTACGATAATGGCGTTAATGCACTCGGTTCCTCCTGGAGAACCAGGCCAAAGCAAACAGAGTCAATCAATTTTTTAAGTTTTGCTCCAGTAAGCTCCAGTGCCCAGTGCCGGTGGTGCTTCATTAACTTGGCCAGAAGCCATCGGGCATGAATCAATCATGTAAACATTATTAAGCACTGGTGGGGGGCAGGTGGTTCACTGGTTCGGTTCGATGGACACTGGTGTGTACTTAACCCACCTTTTGGCCCCCACTCCGATCGAAAGAAATGAAAAGACAGTTTGGCCATGTAATTAGCTTGTTGCACGCAACTTTGGAACTTGGAGCCTAGGAGGACTTGGAAGCCTACGTACGAATGCCTGGGGGAGACGCCTCCACAATTGCGCCTCGAAATTAATTATTAATATGGCACTTTTTTTCCCTCCCCCAGGCAGTGGAATGCTCATACGACAATTATCTACTGACTGGCCAGTGACTACTAAGGTCAATTATTGGAAAAGGCCAAACAAAAGTGGGTTTATTTGTCCAACCAACCAAACAAACAAAGACCAGTATCTCATTCGGGAGTCGGGAATATTCACATTGCCATTTCGGTATCTTTATCTTTGAAATTCCAGTTGTATCTCAACAGCGGTTTGCACTCTGAAATTGCCAGAAGATTGTCTCTAAAGGGAAGTGCCTCATAAAGAGACCTTCAATCAGAGATCTATTCAAATATTCTCTAGGGGGTTCTCTACTACTAGAAGTTCCAACAATCGCCTTCTTTGTGGCTTTAACTTCCCTGTTTTCAGGTCTAATATTTGCTAGAAACTGGAAACTACATCTATGAGGTATATTATCTAAGCATTGGTAGAGTTTCCAATATTAACTCAAGTGTTTTGCTGGTTTATAGAGCACTTGGAAACTGCTCTGAAAAGGTTAACTACCTCTGGGTCTAACTAGCTTATCACCTACTAAGACTTAGACTCTTACTAGCTTATACTAACCAGAGATAAGCTGGGTCTCAGAACTTAATACTTTCAATAATTATATTTTTCAATAATTAATAGAAACCTTGCTAGTCTTATAGACTTAAGCCCCGCATCTTGGCCAACATGCTGGTGCGTCCCTGAGCCCAACTCCACCCTGAACTGGCCTGGCCAGTGACACTGCAAGAAACCAGTCATACCAACAAACAATTGCAGCACTCTGGGGTTTGTTAACATGACCAGCCATTAGATGGCTCAAAGGGGATCAGGTTTAGCCTCCACTCGGAGACCTGAGTTGGGATTCTTGGCCAGCTAGACAAACACACACCAGTCTGTATGAGATTCGAGATCTCGATCGAGTCTCCGACTGTGGCAGACTTAACGATGATGATGATGATGATTGTTAACCGGTTTGGAGTGTAAACCCGTTTCTCTGTTGCTGTATTTTAGCATTTTCAATGTCATGAGTTCGGACAGACACTCACTACTATTAAGTGCGTGCTGGTCATAAGCCTTCTCCTCCGCCAACTGAACCAAACATTAACCCAAAAATCGGAGCTTAGATACGCCCCAGTAGAGCATAACTATCGTCATCATCGGATAACTGGCTGGCATTTAGAACCCACATCCGTCAGATACATTCGGTTCTAAACAGTTCTGCGGTTAAACACAGACTTTGCTTCTCAAGGTTGTAGTTTCTCTCAAAAAAACACAACGTGCCGTAGACCCACAATTCTTCCCACAACCTTGCTGGGCCATGTAGTAGTCTTATGTATATTTTATGCAGAAAACCATAGGGCTTGTTCTAAGGTGTTGACTCAGACATGGAATATATTCATGCAGTTTCGGTGAAAGTCTACACTTGTGACACCTGAGAGAAATTGCACCTGATGGCGACCCCTAAGTTGAAATGCAAAGTGTGGATAATGGTATTCTAAACGGTGCGGGGCTTAATTATATAGTTTATTACTCAATCAAGTAATGGAACTTTCAACAGGCTTTTCTATATAATTTTTATATAAAATATTAAGTTGAATAATAATGGAATTCATGGAGGTCACCAAATACCTCTGTATATGTAGTTCAAGATTATTTTGGAAATTTATTATCGAATTCCCCAGCTGGTTGGCGATTATTGTTTACGATTTCCGCTTAATTCCAGCACGATTCTTGGCCCAAGACTGCGGGTTGCATAATTCTTCTCTGCAGCGAATGCACTTCTTCAGAACAAATTCTTCCATTCAGCAGAAAAACGATAATAAAGTGACCTCTGATGAGCGTTGGGAAATTTCTGGTTCTAGCTGCGCCCTCAATCTTTTCCACTTCCAATGGCAGTCGAGTGCACTTTTATTGCGAATTTATTTCACTTTTTCAACGATCGCCGAGAAAAAACAATCAGCAGGCCAGGAATTGAGTCAAGACTCTGATTGAATCACAAGGGAGCAGCATGACTCAATCATGCTTGTTTTATGACCCAAGGGACAAGATTGCTTTGCATGAGGTGGAGTGGGGGATAAGCAGGGGGTTTGAGTCATTCAGAATACTACCCTACTACTACCCTACCCTACTACTAGTCATAATAACCCTATAGCTACTCTAATGAATAAAGTTAGTGATTACAAAAGAAGATAGTCACATATGTACTTGTAGCTTGGGTGTGGAGTTTGAACCATCCCAGAGAGCAATGAAATTTTAATTTCTTTTTTAAATTTTATATTAAATCTTCATAAAAACTTGCTTATAAATGGTTATTATTTAATTTTTTTTTTAATAAGATGTGGATTTTAACTTTAAACCTTGACAAAAACACTTTAATTTATTTTTCCCCTTTTTTTTAAGATTTTTATATGAATTTTTACAGTTTGCAGTGGTCGGCACTCAATACATTGATATGATTTTAATGCATTAGTATTAGTAACGAATAGCAGAAAGTAGCATAAGTACGTTTATACTGTATGTAAGCCGCAGAGCTCCGGCAGGGAAATTTCCTATGGAATCCCCCGGGATTAGGGCCCTGCCGACCACTAGTTTATAGTATAACTATTATTATTTAACTCAAAATGGTTCAAATATGGGTTTTTCATGGAAATACAATGAAACTTTATATATTTTCATAAAATTTTTATTTAACTCATCATAAAAACTCTTTATTGATAAACACTATTATAAATTCTAAGACAATTAGGCCCCATGGAATCAATTTTGTACTTTTTATTGTTGTTCATTATAAAACTATTACTGCATCATTAATTTTAATAATAAAGAGTTTGAACCAAGCCAAAAAGCTATGAAATTATATTTATTTTTTTTTTTCTTTTTATTTTATTTAAAATTTTCATAAATATATCCTATATTTCTCTCTAATTTCGTCATTACTAAGCTATATTTTAAGTAAAGATAACTAAATGACAAACATATGTACACCCTAAGAATACTTTTCTTTATATAACATTTATAATATAATTCCCAACTGCTTCCTGAAAGACCTCTTATGACTAATCCTTGTGTGTTAATTGAGTTAGTTACGTGTTTTAATTAAACCAGTAGACTTTTGGACTTAATTTTGGGGTTTAATAACCCGGTTAGCACGTCCAGACCCATTCGATTGAGTTGCAATTAGCAGCTCAAGTTTAAATGAAGAGAAATTTTGGGCAAAATCGGCATAATTGCGAAATAAGCGAAATATTTGAAATTCACCTTGATCCAATAAGGGGGCTCACGTAGTGCCCATTCCCCTTCGATATGCCACTTGTGACTCACTCTGGAGGTTGTGGATTCGGATGGTGAGATGGTCAGGGCCGTAAAAACTGGAAATGCCGCCTCCGTAGGCCTGTTTTTCGAAAGAGACCCCCCTACTGACCACCAGATCCAACTGACCAGTGAGTCATTAGCATATATGTATAGTACTTGTTGCTGGTTTTGGCCAATTATATTTTTTAAAGTATTGCCTTTAATATTTTGATATATTTTCCACAGACTTGACTCCGATTAGACAGGCTTAGCTCTGGAGTTAGTTGGCCAACTTAGGCACGTTTTGCCCACAACTCGGGTTTACGAGCCTCAGAAAATGCTAATAATTGGCAACAACAATGTCCAAGTTCAGTGGTCAGCCCCTCCATAGAGGGGATGGGGGGTTTCTTTAGGCCATTGGCTTGTTGGTCTTTGGTTCTGTGGTTCTGTAATTTGGTTAACGGGTGAGGTACACGTGCATTGCAAGTAAATTGTCACTTTTGGATGGAAAGTCACTTGGAAAGGTGAGAGCAGGTGATGGTGGTAGGTGGTAGGGGGGGATACAACTACAAAGTATGCGTCAGCCACGCGCGAATGTGGGACAAACACAAGCCCAACCGCAAGAGGGAAAGTCGAACCAGCGTGGTTATTATTGTTGATGGGCTCTGCTCTGGTCTTGGCTGTCTATCGATTTCTAGATCACGTTTTAAAAAACATTTCCAAACAAACAGAGACACCATTTCCATGAGCAACCAGTGGCTGCCAGGAGGTGGGTGGGAAATCACAGCCCTTCAGGCTCTAGGGTCTGAGGATGTCTGGGATGGAGCTGGACTCAAGTTCAGAGATGGTTTTCCTATTGAGATACTTTCCAAGGACTTTTCTTAAGTGGAGAAGTGGATAATTTAGAGGAGGATGTCCTTAAAGATCCTTAATCCACTTACAAGATACTCTTAAGCTCCAAATCTATCTTCCAGATACTCCCTATCTTCTTAGAATCTTAAGATCTTAACACTCACCCATCATACACCCTGCAGGTGGTGTTGTTGATCCTCTTGTCCGACGCCCTCCTCCTGCGATCCTCGAACAGATCCTTCACCGCCGTCACCCCCAGGACAAACAGCACCGGGATCATGGCCACCTCCTTGCCAAAGGCATTGATCTCCGGCACCCAGTTCAGCAGGACGATGAATATGAAGTACAGGTTGGCCACCCGATGGAACTGCTCCAGCAGGTTCTTCGGGATGAACGAGAGCAGGGTGTACTTGGTCGTCCGGATCTTGTTGCCCACAAAGTGGCCATTGGGATGGTCCCGCTTGGGGGTCTTGGGCGGCACTGTGTGATTGGGCACCACCATCCGGTAGCTGCGCTCCTCGAACTTGTCGCTGGTGGTGTAGTTGCAGAGCGTGAACCGCTTCCACCAGGGCGGCTCCTCCGTCCGCCGGAGCGTGTATATCGATTCGGAGCGCGACGCTTGGCGGGAATGGCCGCGTCCCCCTGTCGCTGAGGTGGGGGCCGAGGGCTCGCGCACCGGCTCCTCCTTGTGGCCGGGGGGCAGGATGAAGTCGGTCTTGGAGCCGACGCGGCTGTGACCCCGCCCCGTGGGCGCTGCACTCCCAGGCGGTGAGTCAGTGATCTGGCCCTGGGAGAAGGCTCGCTGGTGGCCCTTCATGGCCGACTTGATGGGCCTGCCATTGGCGCCCACGATGGCTCCTCCGCCATGGCTAATGGAGCGGGCGTGTCCCCGCGATGCAGTCGCCACTGCCACGCCGGGTATGCCCTGCCCCCCACCGCCACCGGGTGCGCTACCTACCACCGGATTGCCGCCGGGAAAGACATAGGTCCGTTCCGGCTCTCCAAGACCCCCAGAGCCCGCGGGCGCTGTCATCATCAGGCTGGTGGTGGCGGAGGTGGCCGAGGCATGGGGGGGCGGTTGACCGATGTCGCCGGTGAGGTTGGGCGGTGCGGAGCGCTGCTGCTGCACCACTAGAAACTTTCGCCGCAAGTCTTCGGTGTTGGCTGAGGGCATCTTCGCAGGCCTCAACCATCAGGTCACCGTCTCTCGGCCACTCAGGGTTTCTCTAGAATGTTGGTTCCGATCTTTGATGGGAGTTGGAGTGGCTCTAGCTCTTAGCACCAAGTCCAGCACGTGGCTGACATCGTCACTGACCTCTCTGATGAAAGGGCATCTGGAAATATAAAAAACCCTGAGTTATAAGGTTTCTAAAGCATCTTAAAGCTTATCAGTAGAATAAGAGTATATTTTTGGAACTATTTTGCAATAAAATCAGTAAGTCTTTGATTATTTTTACCAATAAACTTCAAAATAGAGGCACTGCGTGGTTTTTTAAAGACCGCCCTTGATTCGAGGCCCCTGATTCGAGGCCCCTGACTTCCGATAAGCCAAAGAAACCACTGAACATACATCACGGAAAGAGCTGCGACAATCACCCAGAGTTAGAGACAGTCCCACACCCCCTACAAGGTCAAGTTCCTCTGGTATTTTTTCTCCAAAAAACCTAGCATGTGGGCTCAAGATTTGTAAGCTCCATCGATGGAAAACGACAGAGTTCAAGGTAGAGACTTCCAAAGACCCACCGATTATCACCCCAACGAGCTTGAACTTTGATTTCTGAGCTGTCAGAGAAGTGTCAGAGGCTGACGAGGTCAACTTTGAATGAAAAGTTACTTCCTTTTTCTGCCAGTTACTTCCTTATACGGAAACACAGTCCTAGCACACAATAGCAGAGAGCTAGGTAGTTGGTAGTTGTAGTATTATTAAGTATTATTAGTAGAAATAGAACTAGAAATAGCTTTCAAGCTTCTTTAGAATTTTATAATAAATTTATTAGATCATTTCTCGCCGAAAATTGCCAAATATACACATTCGATTGTGGTCTCTAACTATATATATAGACTCTATATATATCATAGTACACACCCAGACCCACACCCAGACTGAGAATTGGCACACGACTATTTTGGCTTTCAATTTGTTTCCATTTTCAGACGATTGATCTTAATTTGTAGACTCAGAGAGTCATACTTTCTTTGTTGAGACTTCAAGCTTGGTCATTGGGCTTTCATTAGTTTCTTGACTCTGGTCTTCCATGTCTGAGGACCATAAAAAGTCACCACCACCAGAACTTAACTTTTACCAAAACTACCAGCCAGTCTGGCTATCTGTCTGGCAGACTTTTAATTTTCCTTTCTTTCCATTTTACGAGCCACCAGAAACTACTATACTTTCCAGTCCCGAAACTTGATTTATTTACTTCTGACTTCTGGCCAGGCTAATTACTAGAATTCGCTTCAGAGGGTCTTTTGGCCTCCATTGTGGGCCTGCCGATGCGAAATGTAATTATTTTTAGCCACGCACATGTGAAATAAGCCCCCGAGAAGATAAATAAACAATTTGCAGGCCCAGGCCAAGCCCAAAACCGGGTGCAATTTCCAGATTCGATATCGGGCCAGATATTTAAAAATAAATGGCGATTCTGATTATAAAGTTCATTGCATTTTCAAAAGAAACAAGAAAACCAGGAGTCGGGAGCCAGATGGCTTCCAAAAGAAATATACGATTTGTTATTGAACTTTTGTGGAAAATAATCAGAAAAGGGGGGCATCTATGTAAAATTTTGAAAAAAAAAAAATATTGATGCTATAGGGTTTTAAAAATAATATATCAAAAGATGGAATACGACAATAGTCCCTAATCAAGCACTTTAGAAGAGGACTTCTAAGTGAAAATCTAAAAAAAAAATCATTTTTTTGCTAAAAAGAAGCCATAGGGTCTTGAATAGAATAATAATAACCAAAATATAATAGAACCAAAATATAAAATCCCGCAAAAGTTCCTCTAAGTCTTTAAAATACTCAAAGTAAAACTTTATAATAAGATTTGCTCGAATTATGTGGCTTTTTTTGATCATATTTCGTTCCAATCATAACCAATCTATCTAAAACTTTCACAGGATATTCAAAATACCTTTGTCTACCGTAGTGCAAATTAATTTAATAATAATGCTTAGTCTTCCATTATCAACAATTTTGTGGTGTTTTTTGCGTAAAAAGTTAAAGTTTGGTTCGATTATGCGCCATTTTCAGAAAAATGAATATTAAATGAATATGAATAAAATGAAAATCCTCAGCTTGTCAATAGCTGTTGATGTAGAGAAAATAAACATTTAATTTTATTCTAGTATTCTAGTTAAAATTATTATAATTATTTATTATTTATTTATTTATTTATAAAGAGCTAACCGATTTAATTTTAATTATGAGCTAGCAATAATGTTGAGCAATGGCGACTCGAGTCTTCAATTATTTCATAATACTCTTTTTTTTTTCTATTTAAATAGATACCCCCCCTTAAGTGAGCTTAGTTCGGGCTTCATAATAATAAGCGACCTTGCATTGAAAACGCATTTATGGTCAGGCAATTATTTATTAATTTTAAAATAAACACAAAGCCCGCCAAGTCAAACAATATGTTTAGCAATTATTATAATTTCGAGATTATAATAAGGCTGGCTTGCCTTTCAAATGCCAGAAAATGGCTTCTATTCAAGATTTCTAAACATTTATTTTTTTGAAAATCTTTAAAACGCAAAAAATGAGGCAGACGGTCAAAAGGTGAACTCACTCGGAATGTTTACAAATAAAATGTAAGCCAAATATTTATTTATGGAAACCTACACACACGTTCTATTGAAGAGCCAAAGCTATAAACATTTTTTGCAAAAGAAATAATGGATTTTGGATTCAGGATGTTTTATTTCAGTTCCAGATATACAAAACTGCAAAAAGATAACTTGAAAGTGGAATGGAATGGAAAACAAAACCCCCACCAGTGGCCACCAGCAGCTGTTGTGTTTTGCGAACAACGGGGCGTATGAGTGATATTGCTTTAACTTTTATAACTAGCTTGTATAGCTATCTTGTATCTCTTAGGTATTTATGAACTTCTTTTGGTCATAAATCCCATCCAAGTCGAATACAAAACTCTTCGACAAATTCCCAGTCACTGGCATGCTAATTTTTGTTAATTAAGGCATCTTTGTGGGTCCGAACAATGGGAGTTGGAAATCTACGATGCTGTGGCATTTGACATGGGAAAACTTCCGACCGCCCTGAGAATATTCACGCCAGCCAGCCAGCCACAGCTCGGAGGTGGAGTTGGTGAGTTTCACAACTAATTAGGAACTGTTGACGGGGGCGACGATGTCGGGCTGTGATATCTATTCAATTATATCGACACCGCGTCATCAGCGTCATCAGAGATGTCAAACTAGTCTCGAAAAGGTCAACCTTTCAATAAATAATACAATATAGTTTCTAGTTCCAGTCACGATTTAGTCACGCACTCATCACTCATCACTAGAAGAGCTCAACAGCTGGGCTGGCACCTACACTTGCCTTTTTCTGATTGAATCTTTGACCCGAAGTGGTACTGGTTCGAGGGAAATTAACATACAAATGTATTCAATTATTCGCATTCCTTCTTAATTCGACTTAGGGCCAGAGATCGATTGGCTTTCGATGCGAACTAAGTAAGTAATAAACAAACAGGGCGTTTGTTTATTGCTCGGGGCATAGAAGGGGTTTGAATGCCCTACATTGGGTGGTTTTTAGGGAATAGAGTTTTTTTGAGTATATTTAGAGTATCTAAATAGATTTGTAGTAGGATTCTACATGGTACTTTGTAGCAAAACCTACAATAAAGTAATTTACAAAAAAATAACACGTATTTGGGCATCTATGAGGTTTAAATACCCTACTTTAGAAACCTTTAAGAGCATATACTTTGAAAGGGGAAAGATACTTTGCTTATTGGGAATATCTTAAATGATTTATAGAAGGTTTCTATATTCTATTCTATATAGGATTCTATATGGAACTATGTAGAAAAGACTGCAGCAGACAACAAATAAGGGGAATTTGTTGGGGCATAGACGGTTTTTAAATGGCCTACTTTAGGTACTTTTTAGAGAATATCGGAAGCAATAATACCTCTGATACTTAAGGGAGATATCTTCAATGATGTATCTTGAGGATTCTACATAGAAATGTATTGAAGCTTGAATGAAAGTTATAATACAGAAGGGAAATCGAGGATTTCTCACAAATAGATCATTTTGTAGAGCCTGTATAGGGCTTGAATACCCTACTTTAGATCCTTTTGAAAAGCATATCTTTAGTAATGAACCTCATATTCTTAAGAGGGATATCTTATGAGAAGGATTTCTTTAAAGAACTACCAAGAAAAGACTTTCGATATAGTTATATAAGCCATAAATACAACTTTTAGGCATATACAGAGTTGAAATACCCTACTTCAATCACTTTTAAGAGAATATCTTTAGTAATAGACCTCCGATTCTTAAGCAACATATCCCAAAAGATTTGTAGAAAGATTCTCTAAAGACCTGCCTTAAAATCTACAAACAAAACTCATAAAAATTATATATTTTTTTAATTTCCTCACCAAACTACGATGTAAAAAGATATAAATACTCTAATACTATAATGCCATATATAATATATATCCTATACTACTCTATACTCTAGCTAATACTACTATACATATATCTTTTCCAATATCTACTCCGCATAAATTTCTGTAATGAACTCCTCAGTTCACATTGCCGCCTTTGAATAAAATTATACTACCTCCGTAGAGCTATTAAAAATAGACATTGTTTGTTTTCTTTCACTTGCTACCCCGACTGGCACCTGCCCCGGCGACTCATTAAAGTTAATGGCGAAAAGGCGTTGGCTGGAAAAGAAAGAAAGGGCCCGACGCAACAAAGTGGCTAGCAAGAAAGTGATTTAAAATAGTAAACAAAACATACTCTGCTTTATTGAGGGTATTTTTTAGAGATTAGGTCACTGTTTTAATAAAAAAATAGCATTTAAAATCGCATTTTTGCATTTTCAAGATAAACGAGTGGATCATAAATTCGATTCATAAAGTCGAAGAAAGCCCATCACAGGAAGCGATAAGACGAAGTATTTCAAAGAACCAACTTCATTGTTGGTCAGCGGAAAATAGAACTTGGTTCTTGGAGAACATGTGGCAATGTTTCTATTTTCAAAAAAGAAATCATTTTCAACCAAAACACCATGTCAGCACAACAAAGTACACGATTTTTCAAAAAGAGGGCTTTGATTCCAACAGCCATAGAAAAGCCAGTTGCCAAAGATAAGAGGGGCTATAGCTATATAACTATATGGAGCGATAAAGCACAAATCATAGTGACAGAAGGGAGTTTTATGGACTCTATCCATGCGATACACCTAATCGAATAGTTTATCACGATAGCTCGAACCTCCCAAATACCAAAACAGCCATAGAGCCATGAGAACGCAATGTGGAATCAATTAAGTTAGGACAGGAATGGGTGCGGGGTATAATTTGCACTGGAGTGCCAACAATTGATACGAATATACTATATATATAGTGATATACCATTCCAGCGAATATATATAGTGCGCACTCTGACATCTGGCAGTGTGATAAGGCCATGAAGCGCAAAGCCACGCGATGTGGCAGAGCCACGTACTCACAGATACCAGTTACCAGCTAGCAGATATCAGAGGCGTTTTGGCATTTGCTTATCAAGTTACACGACCTGACAACAACAAAGGCTAATGGCTATTTTTACAATAAATTAAAGTGACTAAGATTTTATAGTAAAATAGAGGTCTTTAAAGGGTTCTATAAGTGTATAACTAATATCTGAAGAATATGAATACCAATAGAAGCAAATTTTCAGAAGTTATGACTATTTTTAGGTGTTTTTTTAGTTAACGGGTTCGAAACTCCTCTTTGTTTTTAATTTTAAACTTATAATAGCTCCTAAACTATTCCTATGATTTTTCTTAAATTTTCTACACAGTGTTAGTATATTCTGTTAAACTACCTAGATATATATTTTTAATTTTTAAAATTTGTATATTAATTTTTAACTTGTTTTAGAAAAAAAAAACATTTTTGGTCAAAAAAGTTTTTTTAAAACTGGTATTTCCCCAAATTTTTCTATTCTTACTTATGGAAATTAATTATTAAATGATATAATATTGATTTTTAGGATTTTAGATGATATAGCATCGAGTTATAAGCATATCTTTATTAATATTTTAACCAATATCTCTTAAACTTCATTCTTTAATATGAAACTTTACCCAATAAATGGATTAAAATAATTTTCCTCAAAAAACCTACCCAAAAACGATCCTTTTTTATAAAACCACCCACTTTATCCTTAAAAAACCCCCATAAATTAAAGTCAATTTTGAATAATTAGTCCTATTTCAATGACATCAAGTGTACATTTTTGACTGACTCGCTGGAGCAGACAGTAAGTAAGCTTCGGTCATAAAAATTAAATAAATACAAAGTCGGGCCATAATCAGTAGCGTTAAACTGTAAAAAACAGAAGAGATAACTCGGCGGTTGTCGTACTGCTTCCGTTTCTTTTTATCTTCTTTTGTCTTGCTCTTTCCTGTTGGAGAGCTTTGCCGTTTTGGGCTTCCACACTGGCACTGCATCGCGCGGATTGCGAATCGGAGTCAATTGCCGCAAGCTCTGCCTTAACGGTACCTGGAGCGGTGGGGGAGAGCGCGTCTCCGCTCAGCTAATAGATTGCATGAAAAAAGAGACAAACGAGGAGCAAACAACAACGCATCAAGTAACAGTTAAAAGTTGTTGTTTGTCTTTCTCTCTCTCGCACTCTCCTAGCAATTAGCAGGCAAAAAGAAAGGGGGCATGGCACAGTGGTTGTCATATAAATAGGTCATAGACCCGAAATGCATCAAAAAGTAACCCCTTAAAAATGGAGCAATAAAAATGGAATTTCTGGGTATGTGTACCTCTATTCACAGGTAAGACCTGTAGTTAGGGTTTCAGCTGTAAAAAGCTGCCGTATTAACTGCTCAGGTATGTTCAGGGAAATTTTCGACAGCTGTCATTTGTTTCAAAGGGGCACGTAAAAGAAAGTTGAGAGTCGAGGTTGCCCATAACATATGTTTTAAAGTATTATTTATATTTTTAGAAATATTCTCCTAAGGTTTCCATGCCACTGTGCAACATGGGGCAATAGTAGTGCAAACAAATCTGCAGCCGCCAGACAAGAAGCCGAAGCCAACTTAATCCCGCGACTGTTTATACCAAATGCCGGTGAAAGAGCAACAGAGAGAGCAAGATCGATAGGAGGCTGTGAGTCAAGAGCGAGAGGGATGCAAGCAGGTAAAAAAACCCGTCATGATTGGAGGACAGGGGGAGGTACTGTGGTGGGTCTGCAACGCTTAACTGGTTCTTGGCAAGCAACTTGTTTTTTCTGTAGATTGCCGTCTGAGGTTTATTATGCTTCTTCCCAGCAGCCAGCCAGCCAGCCAGCCTTTGCCATTTTTTTTTTTTATAAATATGGTAACTTGATTTAAAACTTACCCAATAAAACAATAACCATAAAAAAAAACGATGAATCCGAGTATGAATCTTCAACTAATACTTTTTGGGTTTTTGGTTTATTTTATTTAATATATTTTTTTTTAGGCTATTTATATGCAGGGAAGAGAGAACGAATTTTCAGTGATGCTGCCGACCATAGCAACACAGAAAAATGCTGCAGTCCAATTCAAAGCAACAACAACAACAACAACAACAACTACAGCATGGGGGAAACATATGATAACCGAGGTCAGGCGTGTGAGAGAGCGAGAGAGCAGAACGCGAAATAACAGACGAGGGTAACTTGTTTGCAATTCAATAAATATATATTTTTTATTACTCCTCTGAGCAGAGTTTTCAATTAATATATTTAATTAGGGTTTCCACTTGGACGCCACATAACAGCCAACAACAAGAACACGCAACCGAAAAAAACGCGCCCGCCACCGCTCACTTTTTCATTTCTTTGCCTTTTTTTTTTTTGGTCGTTTGAACCTTTTTTTTTCGTTTTCATTTGCTGTTTTTCACATTTTTGTGCCACGATTATTTCTTGTCGAGGTGTCGGCTTTGTTGTTGCTAAGAATTTTCATACAATTATGGCCCAAATAGCATTTTCACTTTTTTTTTCTTTCAGCCAAACGCACACACATACACACAATTGTTTGGGCTCCTTTTTAAATGAAAACAATAAATATTTACATCGATGTGTTGATAACGACACGATTAGTATAGCACACGCCACGAAATAATCCAAAAAATCCGACGAAACAAAGAAACGAAAAAACAAATTTAACGTTTAGTTTTTAATGCTCAGATACAGAGCGACCGCACTTCCGTCGCGTCCGCACAGTGATGGCTTTTTTTCGATTCTGGCGTTTGTTATTTTGGGCCCACTGTGAGAGTTTCGAAATTAGGGTGGCCAGACCGTTGTTATTTTGGTTCCTTCGTGGCATTAGTGTGCCCAGTTTGATTTGAATCAGCTGTTTTTTTTGCTGGTCGGTGCTGCCAGAAAGTTATTTTGAAACATTTATCGAAATTTAAAAAATTAAAGCGAAATTTGAATATAGTTCGGGAAAAAATATTATTTTGAATTTAAATAACAAGAGTTATTGCAATGCTGAAATTGATATAAAACGAACAATTTGAAACTTAAACCAAACTTTAGGAACGGTGCTGCTTGTTTATGTTTCTTTATTTATTTATTGATAGAGATGAAAAAATATCGATAGACAAATCAATGTGAGTTATCGATTCATTTGTGATAAGAAAATACCACAGTTAAAAACCCGCTGGAATTTAAATTATTCTTAAACTTAAAAAATGACAAATGAAGCTGTTTTTGCCTGAGACGCTTCGCAAATGTAACGTCGTTTGCATATACATGGAAGGTCGTTTAAACGATGTTGATGTGAAATTTCCCTTTTATATCCAATCTCATCGCAATGCTCGTCAATATAATTATCGGGCTGCCCTGGAGCCCAAATGTCCAAAGACACCGGCAATCCTGTTGAGAACCATTCGTGTTTTTCCAGAGAAGCATAGTCCGATCCTGAGGTCCAGTATCCGTTATCAATCTTGTTATCCCACAGATAACGGTCTATGGCTTTCCACTCGTCAATGCTTTCAAAGGATACCAAATGGGAGTCCATTCGTCGGCAGGATTCAAACGCGTCATACCAATTCTTCTCCGCCTGGGTCTCTATATAATAATATCCATTGCCGATCTTGATAAAGGGATTTGTCTCAATGTCAATGTTCCCCACAACGCCTTCAATTAAAAAAAAACTTTTATAATATTTTATAAAATAATTTGAAAATATTTACCATCTTCCACGTTCGAAATAACGTGAAATGCTCTAATTTGAGAGCTGAGGCCAATAATGGCAAGTAGCAGAGTGAGTTTATTGGACATTTTGCGAAGACTGTGAAGTAAGTTTAAAAATTATTTCTTTTTATACTCTCTAAAGGCAGTTCTTATTTAACTTGTTTAAACAATTAACTAATCAATTAATTGGTCTGAGGGTTCTTAGAAGTGTTTCGAGACAAGTCACTTAAATTGGAATCGATTGAGAGATTCGTAAGCGCAGAAGACGTTTTATACTAAAAATCCTAAAATAACCATTATGTTATGAGTTTAATTTCTTTGTAATCATATTTTTGTATATTCATTATTTCATGACTACTTAAAATAACTCAATGAATAAGGTTAAAAAATTGTATAATTATTGATCTTTAATAGGTACTACAAATTACTGATTTTTTCGATTGAAAATAAACAAATAATCGTCATTTGAAGTCCCTTTGTTAATCATCATGATAAGGAAGCTAAGTTAAATTAAAAGTGTATACCAAACATAAGTAGACTGTTTAATTAAACTTCTTATCACTGTGAAACATTCAATAAACGATAAGAAATAGGTCAAAGAGTAAAAGAGAAAATCCATGTAAAATATCGGTGCAAAAATAAATATTTGTAATTCACAGCGTGTCTTCTTTAGAAAAAAAGGTTTGGTTGGAACTCTACTTTTAGTTACTTCCATCTACATTATTTGGTTTCCGTTTAGTGTACTTTAATTAATAGATAATATTTTTCCTTGATATACAAACATAAGCTTTAATAAGTTTAAACATAAGCTTACAAGTGGCGATTTTCAAATTGCGCGCCCAAAAAATGCATCCCTGAAAATACCGAAAACATGAAAAATATGAAACATTATTTTTATTGACAAATTAATTACAAAAGGCTATTCCATGCCTTTTATTTGTGTTTTATGTCAAAATTAGCAGTAGTGTCTCCTCGCTGGCCGTCCTCGCGGAAATTACCAGCGATAAGCCACAGAAAAAATACCGCGAAATGCAACCCTGACCACGAAGAAGCGAGTAGAGAAAAATTATTGAACGAAAAAAAAAGTGAACGAAAAACAGCAGAAAAGTCATCGTCGAAAACGTCGCAGCAAGTGAAAAAGAGGCAATAAGCAAGAACCGGAAAGCCACAGATCCGAGGAAACTAAAAAAAACAGATTTCTTTCCCCCAAGTGCATTGAGAGAAAGCCAGAGCCAAGATGAATGAGGAATACGATGCGATCGTGCTCGGCACAGGCCTGAAGGAGTGCATCCTCAGCGGGATGCTGTCCGTGTCCGGCAAGAAGGTGCTGCATATTGATCGGAACAAGTACTATGGCGGCGAGTCGGCCTCGATTACACCGCTGGAGGAGCTGTTCCAGCGCTATGGCCTGGAGGCGCCCGGCGAACGGTTCGGGCGTGGCCGCGACTGGAACGTGGACCTCATCCCCAAGTTCCTGATGGCCAACGGCCAGCTGGTCAAGCTGCTCATCCACACGGGCGTCACCCGCTATCTGGAGTTCAAGTCCATTGAGGGCAGCTACGTATACAAGGGCGGCAAGATTGCCAAGGTGCCGGTGGACCAGAAGGAGGCCCTGGCATCCGATCTCATGGGTTCGTAACTCCATTAACCCTTATTCTGCAGTTTTTTTTTCCTCCTCCATATCCCCAATCTAGCAATTTGTGCAAATTGCCAGCTGTGTGCCAGTGTGTGTGTGTGTGTGTACTCGACTCTCTTATCTGAGCCGCCTTGCCTCTCCCGGCTCTCTCTATCTGCCCTTTCTTTGTCTCCACTTTTATACTCGCTGGATTCCGTGGCTCTTGTTGTTGTTGTTGTTGCTGCTTTCGACTGTGACACGTATTTGCTATCTGCTCCCCAGCCCTGTCTATCTGTCTATGTGTGTGTGAGTGCGAAAAACAGTTGTTTTTCGGCCGCCACATAATTTCCACACACACACCTCCAGTTGGCCCAGAATTTATAGAAATTGTAGATATGCCCCTGCATTCTGATTAGAATTCTAGCCATGATTTGGTGGAAAATTTGGTTAAAATCCAGCTCTGTGTTGGGCTATGAATCAGCCACTCTCCACCTGCCGCTAATTACTCTCCTCTGGAGTACACCTGACATTCGCTTCAGTTGAATTTTTGCGTTTTTTTTTTCAATTCTTCTCTTCTCCTTCGTGGTGTTGGCAACAAAATGCAATTAGTTAGTTTTGGCCAACACGGTCTATTTATTTTTGATTGGAGCTCGAAGTTTGTTGGATGGATTTTCGAAAGAAGCTTTTCAAAAGTCGTTTTGGGGGCCATTGAACCCTTTCACTTTGTTTTTTTTTTCCAAAGAGATAAGCTTATAATAATAAATTAAATGGTAGCTTTTATATTTATTGTTTATTTTAGGAGGATAGTATATTTATTTAGTCGTTGAGTAATTAAGGTTTCAAATGTGACTAACTTCTCTTTTAATGGGAGTTCCAGGAATTGGGCAATTCTATGAACTGGCTGAGGTAGCAGAAAGTTAATGGCTTAAGCTTAAAAAAATGGCTTTATCTTAAGCTTCAAAAAATGTACAATATATTTCAAAAGAGTATTTCATATTTTTATTAAACGAATATCCCTTAAGAATAATAATTGTATGAATAATTGTAAATTTTAAAAACTTTTCCTGCCAATTTCCAACTCTATTTGCATTTTATGAGCATACATTCATATGCTCTGCATGACGTCATCTTGTGTCCAAAGCGGTTTCGCAATTGTTGGTGGTGGCTACTCTCCGCCCCCTAAATTAGAGGTCTCCTTGTATTGCGTGCCTCTCTCCAAGTGTATGTGTGTGGCATGCAAATGGAAATTGAAACTTAAAACCCCATGCCTGCACTCCCTTTTATGCAGATCCTGTTTCCAGGACTGACCAATATGGCTAACAACGATACTTATATATTCCATTTGCAGGCATGTTTGAGAAGCGACGCTTCCGGAACTTCCTCGTCTATGTGCAGGACTTCCGGGAGGATGATCCCAAGACCTGGAAGGACTTTGACCCCACCAAGGCCAACATGCAGGGTCTGTACGACAAGTTCGGACTGGACAAGAACACGCAGGACTTCACCGGCCACGCCCTGGCCCTGTTCCGTGATGACGAGTATCTGAACGAGCCGGCCGTGAACACCATCCGGCGCATCAAGCTCTACTCGGACTCGCTGGCGCGGTATGGCAAGTCGCCCTACCTCTATCCCATGTACGGCCTGGGTGAGCTGCCCCAGGGATTCGCTCGGCTGTCGGCCATCTATGGCGGCACCTACATGCTGGACAAGCCCATTGACGAGATTGTGCTGGGCGAGGGCGGCAAGGTAGTTGGAGTGCGCTCCGGCGACGAGGTCGCCAAGTGCAAGCAGGTCTACTGCGATCCCAGTTATGTGCCCGATAAGGTTAGTGGAGAAACAAGCAGTTAAGATCCTTTAATGACTTCCCCTATTTGACAGGTGCGCAAACGTGGCAAGGTGATTCGTTGCATTTGCATTTTGGACCATCCGGTGGCCAGCACCAAGGACGGTCTGTCCACGCAGATTATCATTCCACAGAAGCAGGTGGGCCGCAAGTCGGACATTTATGTGTCGCTGGTGAGCTCCACCCACCAGGTGGCCGCCAAGGGCTGGTTCGTGGGCATGGTCTCGACCACCGTGGAGACCGAGAATCCGGAGGTTGAGATCAAGCCCGGCCTGGACTTGCTCGAGCCGATCGCACAAAAGTTTGTGACCATCTCGGACTACTTGGAGCCGATCGACGATGGATCCGAGTCGCAGATCTTCATCTCGGAGTCGTACGACGCGACCACGCACTTCGAGACCACTTGCCTGGATGTGTTGAACATATTCAAGCGCGGCACTGGCGAGACGTTCGACTTTTCCAAGATCAAGCACGAGCTGGGCGACGAGGAGCAGTAAGCGGGGAGCACGAAGAGAGGCCTCATCTGGTTATGGTGCATATGGACAGCTCAACATCAGCCACAAAAAACATTGTAGATCGTCTCGGCGTCGTGGCCAAAACCTTAAAAACATACCCAAGATAAATGAAAAACCCTAAATAAACCCAAAACGAAATGAAAAAAAAAAAAGAAAATCCATAAATTGTATTACGAAAATGCTTTTCCATCGAGAGATGAAGTTTTAGATGTGAAATGAATTGCTTGCTTCGCGCAATATTGGATATGCCTAGAAAATATATATATATACACCTATATAACATAAATTATACAGCATGCAGTCGCGTATACATATTATGTACGTCTATATAAATGTATAAATATGTGAATGTTAGGCAACTAAATCAAATTCACACACAGATTCAGCTTTTTGTGACTCGAGAAGAAGGCGTATGCCTCGACGTATGTATACCCTCTCCCTACCACCCATTCGCCACCGATCGGCCAGTTAGTCACGAGATTAAGCTTTGATTTTAGTTGTACGACTATACAATAAAGTATATATATAATATATGAAATCATATATATATATTGTCTATGTATATTGCCCTCAATAGTTGCTTGGTTCCCCTTATTTGTGATCACAACACAACATTTGTCGGCCAACATCCCGAGGCCACAACAAAAAACGCATTAAAACACACATATAAATACATAATTATAAACATGACACTCTCACATCAATAAGCAGCATTATAATGGTAATTGTAATCCATAACAAGATATTGAAAATGTAAACTGGCGAAAAATATTCATCGCTGCATGCTGAAATTATTGCAACTGAATCGAAGCAGGGCAGGCAGGAGGCAGGAGAACCCAGGAAATTAAATAGAATCTAAAACAGATTGTCAATGGTCTAGAGAACTATGGTATTCCGCATTTTCAGAATTTACATTTTTAATAAAAATTGAAAAAAAAACACGTACTAAGATAGTTATGTATATTGTTGGGTTGTTTGGAATACTTTTGATTGAAGTTTAATCGGAAGTAGCCTAACCATAAATATATTTTTTATAGACCTATTAACCCAGCTCCGGTCATAATACCTATAAATATCCACCGCGTTGATAAGGCTCGTGGTTTTTTGTATAAAATGCCCGATCGGGGTAGTCCAGTAAAACAGTATCGCCAAAATGTTTCCCAAGTTGGTAGTACTTCTAGGCCTGCTTTCCCTTAGTGCAGGTTATACTATAACACCTTTTGTGGAAGATGGTAAGTTCTAATTGTATTTTTTTCAAAAAACCTTTTCGTAAACCTTCCTTTTAACCCCAAAAAGGCATTCATTCCTGTAGGTCGAAATATTAGCACAGACCCATTTGTTAAAATTGGTAATGGCTACTATTATATAGAGACCAATAGAGACGACTGGTTTGGGGCCTACGAATCCTGCCGCAAAATCAACGCTGAGTTGGTAGCTTTTGAGACTAAGGAGGAGATGGATGCCGTGGCTGAATATATTTCAGACACCTTTGTCTGGGGCTATTGGACATCAGGAAATGATTACGCTACTACGGGAAAGCACGTGTGGTTCTCCAATGCCCAGCCTATATTATCGGATCTATGGTATTACACCGAGCCAAACAACCTTGGAGGAAATGAGAGATGCGTGGTTTTTGTCTATAAAAAACCTGTGGATCTCCAAAATTTGACTGGATTGTATGATGTTGGATGTAGGGCAAGACAATCACGCTATATATGTGAATCCCCTCACCCCAAAACTGCATCTTTTATAGTAAATTAAAAATTTTTAAAAATAAAGCTAACAAGAAAGGAAAGCTTACTTGGGACGGAGCCGAAGTGATATACCCTTAGGCCGATCCTTATTATAATTTTATTATAAAACCAATTCATGAGAATAAAAAACTTTAAAAAAAGTCCCAAGATTTTATTTTCAAAAATACTAAAGTTTGCCTTTTTACCAAATACCAAGCTATAGGATAAAGTCGACCGATCCCCCTGAAATTTGGTAGGTCGGATCATAAAGTCGGACCCAAAATAAAGTCCGTATAAACTTTCAACTTTCTAAAACAAGGGTCATTTCTGATAGTTCCTATATGGCCCACAACTTAGCTATATCTTTCTTAATTATTATCCGATTCTCAAGCGGAGTACCTTAAACGATTTCTGGATCGATTCCCCACCATTCTGCATCAAAATCCTGAGACAAAATATTTTTTAGATTTTTTGTCCATTTTTCGTGATGGGATCCCTTAAAAATGGGGTTTTCCTCTATAGGGCCCACAGTGATGGCCATATCTTCCTCAATTCTAATCCGATTCTCAAGCGGAGTACCTTAAACGATTTCTATATTGATTCTCCATCATTCTGCATCAAAATCCTGAGACGAAATATTTTTTAGATTTTTTGTCCATTTTTCGTGATGGGATCCCTTGAAAATGGGGTTTTTCTCTATAGGGCCCACAGTGATGGCTATATCTTCCTCAATTCTCATCCGATTCTCAAGCGGAGCACCTTCATCGATTTCTGGATCGATTCTCCACCATTCTGCATCAAAATCCTGAGACGAAATATTTTTTAGATTTTTTCAGCGGAGTACCTTAAAAGATTTCTATATTGATTCTCCACCATTCTGCATCAAAATCCAGAGACAAAATATTTTTTAGATTTTTTGTCCATTTTTCGTGATGGGATCCCTTGAAAATGGGGTTTTTCTCTATAGGGCCCACAGTGATGGCTATATCTTCCTCAATTCTCATCCGATTCTCAAGCGGAGCACCTTAAAAGATTTCTATATTGATTCTCCACCATTCTGCATCAAAATCCAGAGACAAAATATTTTTTAGATTTTTTGTCCATTTTTCGTGATGGGATCCCTTGAAAATGGGGTTTTTCTCTATAGGGCCCACAGTGATGGCTATATCTTCCTCAATTCTCATCCGATTCTCAAGCGGAGCACCTTCATCGATTTCTGGATCGATTCTCCACCATTCTGCATCAAAATCCTGAGACGAAATATTTTTTAGATTTTTTGTCCATTTTTCGTGATGGGATCCCTTGAAAATGGTGTTTTCCCCTATATGGCCCACAGGGATGTCTATATCTTTCCCAATTCTCATCCGATTCTCAAGTGGAGTACCTTAAACGATTTGTAGATTGATTTTCCACCATTCTGCATCAAAACCCTGAGACAAAATATTTTTTAGATTTTTTGTCCATTTTTCGTGATGGGATCCCTTGAAAATGGGGTTTTTCTCTATAGGGCCCACAGTGATGGCTATATCTTCCTCAATTCTCATCCGATTCTCAAGCGGAGCACCTTAAAAGATTTCTATATTGATTCTCCACCATTCTGCATCAAAATCCAGAGACAAAATATTTTTTAGATTTTTTGTCCATTTTTCGTGATGGGATCCCTTGAAAATGGGGTTTTCCTCTATAGGGCCCACAGTGATGGCTATATCTTCCTCAATTCTAATCCGATTCTCAAGCGGAGTACCTTAAATGATTTGTGGATCGATTCTCCACCATTCTGCATCAAAATCCTGAGACGAAATATTTTTTAGATTTTTTGTCCATTTTTCGTGATGGGATCCCTTGAAAATGGGGGTTTCCCCTATATGGCCCACAGTGATGGCTATATCTTCCCCAATCCTGATCCGATTCTCAAGCGGAGTACCTTAAACGATTTCTGAATTTATTCTCCATTTAATCGGAAGTAGCCCAACCATAAATTTGTTTATTGGCTTATTAACCCAGCTCCGGTCATAATACCTATAAATATCTACCGCGTTGATAAGGCTCTTGGTTTTTTGTATAAAATGCCCGATAAGGTTAGTCCAGTAAAGCAGTATCGCCAAAATGTTTCCAAAGTTGGTTGTACTTCTAAGCCTGCTTTCCCTTAGTGCAGGTTATACCATAACACCTTTTGTGGAAGATGGTAAGTTCTAATTGTATTTTTTTGAATAAACCTTTTCGTAAAACTTTCGTGTAACCCCAAAAGGCATCCCTGAAGGGCGAAATATTAGCACAGACCCATTTGTTAAGATTGGTGATGGCTACTACTATATAGAAAGTACCAATAGAGACAACTGGTTCGGGGCCTACGAATCATGCCGCAAAATCAACGCTGAGTTGGTAACTTTCGAAACTAAGGAGGAGATGGATGCCGTGGCTGAATATATTTCAGACACGTTTCTCCCAGGTTATTGGACTTCTGGCAATGATCATGCTGTAATGGGAAAGCACATGTGGTTCTCCAATGCCCAGCCTATATTATCGGATCTATGGTATTACACTGAGCCAAACAACTTTGAAGGAGATGAGAGATGCGTTATTCTTTTATATAAAGAACCTTTGAGTTCTCAAAATAGGACAGGATTGCACGATGTTGGGTGTAAGACGAGGAAATCACGGTATATCTGTCAAGCCCCTCATCCGAAAACCGCCTATTTTATTGTAAATTAAAAAATGTTTAAAAATAATACGAGTAACTAAGAAGTTTAACTAAGATATAGATATTGAAAATGGTTATTTTAATTTTTTTTTCTGATTCTTAGATTGAAAATATATTAATAAAAATGTACTATTATTTTTTAACTTTATAGTCCGTAGAATCCAAAAGAAGCAACTAAATTTGTAACAAAAATTAAGAAATATGAAACTGTATACTTTGGTTGATTGGCATATAAAATGACTTGAAAGTGCTGAATTTAAATAAAACTGATAACATTTTGCTACCAAAAATAAACAAAAAAGAAATATAGAATTTAGTTTAAGATAACGCACTAATGTAATTAATAATCTCTTAAAATGGATCTTAAAATAAATTGGACTACTGATATTTACGAATTCTTACATTACTCTTATATATTTAAAATTTTTTCTAAATTAAAATGGATTTCACAAAAATATACTCGGTGTTTATTGTTCTTGAAGTTTGGTTTAAAATGTATTTTTAATTTTTTATTTTAACTATAAACTAAATTTATTGGTTTCATTTTAAAAGCTTTCATATTTTTTGCCGCCTATTTATTGGTTCCCTTTAAGGTCCTTCCAGTAGTTCAGTTCAAAAGAACTGATTCATTTAATGTCCTTTTCTTAGTTCATGGTTCCGCCTTCAAAAGGGCAAAAGTTTTCTAACATCCAAATTTTGTCAAGGAAAAAAGGCGGGTAAAAGAAATGAGTTCAAAAATAAAAACTGCTAATATTTTAAAAAGAAAAATAAGATTTTCCCTATGCCTAACAATGAAGGTTATGCAATTTATAATATTCTTAATATTTAAAATTAAATATAACAATAATTGTGTTGATAAGCCAAAAGTTATAAATATTTTTATGTCTTTAAACTTAAATATAGCTTGTTTTTAAGCCATAAATTAATAGCTCAGTTTATACCTAAATTATAAAAATTGGTTAATTATTTCCTACCGCTAAGATTGGTTCATTATCTTTATTAAGCCAATTGGCTTTCATCAACGGAAGGAAGAAATTAAGTCATAATCACCTTAAGTATTTTATGACTAATTGATAGCTACATTTCCCTTTGAAATTTTTTGGCAATTTGTGCTGAATTTGGCAGTTTGTGCTGATTAGATTAACGGCCGTTGATTATAAAAGGCCTTCCCAAAAAAATCTAGAGGCAGTTGTAGCACAATGTTCACCCTGATCAGCAAAGTGGTCGCTTTTTTGGGAATACTTTCCTTTGTGAAGGCTTACAGTATAAACCCTTACATTGAAGAGGGTAAGCTTATAAAACATACATGTATTTATTCCATATTAAACTAAATTCTATTTTTTTGTTTTTAGGAATACCTGAAAACGCCAACATAACTACAGATCCTTTTGTAAAAATAGGAAACGGCTATTATTACATTGAGAATTCTCAGACTGTAAATTGGTATACGGCGTACCACTCTTGTCGAAAATTGGGTGCTGATCTAGTTACCTTAGAGAACCAGGAAGAACTGAAGGCCCTACAGGAGTATAATCTAACCAGTGGGTTCTATTGGACCTCTGGCTCAGACTTGGCGTTCACCGGAAAGCACGTTTGGTTCTCCGATGCCGAGTCTATATCATCCGATCTTTGGCTTCCCAATGAACCCAATAATGCGGATTGCAATGAAAGATGTGTTTTACTTTCTGTGGCTAATACCTTGGCAGATTCTGGCCTAAATGATGTGACTTGCTCGAGGAACACTAGCTTTATTTGCGAGTCTCCCACACCAATGACAGCATCCTTTGTTATTTGGTAGATTTTGTAAAAGAATGGATTGTCACAACATTATTCGTCCTTTTAAATAAAACTTCAATAGGAAAAGTAAAAAAAAAAATGTATTTTATTCTCCGCTCGTGTAAAAAGTCTAAAAGTCTGACTACCAAAAGTTATAAACTTTTTTTTTCTGGAAATAAAATCGCAGCCATAGCTGGTTTATTAGCTGCCCAATAAATTTAAATCACGTAGCCATAAAGGTTGTAGTTATAGCCAAGAATCACCTCATCCTCTCTGCCCATCTCTTTCGCACTTTTTGGTCCTTTTTTTCCATCTCTCTCTTTCTGTGACACAATTGCAAAATCCGCAGCAAGTGTCTGGAATGCATTTGAAATACTTGACCCTCCTCCTGGCAGTTCCTACGTCTCTCGTCCTGGCAAGTGGGAAATTCTTATTGAATTGCATGTGGCATGCCACACGAGGCAGAGCCTGTTCCGCTCTTACCATTACACAAGGTCCTGGAACCTGAATCCTGTCGAAGCTTGGGGAATGTGCAAAATGCTGAGAATGCTCCACTCGATTCCTGTTAGTTTTAATGCTGTCGCTGACAGTTTTAGTTGATTTTTTTTCAAAGCTTCTACATACATATATATTTTATTTTTTTAGTTTTATTTTATTTCATTTTATTTGCTTTTGCGTTGGCGACGTGTCCAACAAAATGCCGCCAGCATTTTTCCAATTTCCGCTACCAAGAAAACGCAAAAGGGCCAAGACGTTTCGCATTCCTTTTGATTTTTTGTGCACTGAACTTTTTAACTTTTCTGAAGCCACAAGTGTTTTTTGTACACAAGAAAAAAATATTGCTATTTTGTTAGAAATATATTAAAAATACAATTAATTAACTAAATATTCATAAGTGTTATTGTGTTGATTTTTGGGGTTTATTAAATACCAGAAATGCAGAAAAAAAAGTTTTATTAAGAGTTGTAATACCTCTTGCCAAGCAAACCATTTATTTTATATTAAAATGCATTTTTTTAGGTAAAATAAAGATTTAAAATTATTGTCTATTCCTTAAGTAAAACACGAAAATTCTCCTCTTAATTTCAAGAGCTTAGATCAATGTCCTGCCGGCATTCCTGTCACATTTGCCATCTGCAACTATCCTTTCTCTTGGTTGATTCGGCATTTGGACTAGGAAATAGTTTTAACTACCACCTCGCATTTCTCCATTGGGGCGATGATGATGATGATGATGGCCATGTGGCTGAGACGGTGGCTGATGTGGCCAAAACACGTCGCCCCAAAGCTGGTCAAGTCTTTCACCACATTTTTGCTCCGCCGGCATCCTTCTTGGATTTGTTGTTTTTTGTGAAGGAAAAACAGCCAGACCAAATTTGTAACTGGGCAAATTGAAGTCAAAACTTTGGCGCTGGTCGCAGCATGCAAGTCACATACATTGGCCTGATGGAGAGTGGGTATGGGGTGGTGGTGGCATGGTGGGGCACTGGTTAGATGGAGCATGATGTCGACGCAGCACTGGCAGGCATGACTAAGCTGGCTGCCCCGGCTGCATGGCTGCCTAGCTGCCTCGGCTGGTCCTGTCCATGTCTGCATCTATATTCGTGTCCTTGTTGCTGATGCTCCTGCTTCTGGCCATGCAGGACAGGCTAACGAGCCGGGCTGGGCAGGGCAGGGGAGCAAAGTGGCATCGCGTCGGTCTCGTAATAACAGCCAACCGCAAAAGCACACACACAGATACAAAAACCCAAACACACACTCACACACACACACTCAACACCACACTCACACAAAACAAAGCAACAAAATGATGCCTTTGGGGTCGGTTGACGGTGTTCGGGCCATGATTTGGCGGCTTATGGACATTGTCCATGTGCAGCGGCAAAATTGACGCAGTGGACATGACCAGGCCAACACTTACAGGGACAGACACACACACACATCGACATCCATTACATGCGCATTAGGTCATGTTGAATATAATTCTTGGGCATTCCTTAGAGCGTAATGTGATTAATTATACAAGTTATAAATATAATGCATGCGACATGTTGTCTCCTTCGCTGATGCTACTGCTTCTGGTGCGGCATCATCGTCAGCCGTCGCATCATTATCCTGAGCGACATCCGTTACTGAAAGGACCCTAACAACAAGATTAAGGAGCACAAATTATGACAACACAGCAAGAAAATGAATTTAACTAATTGTGATAGATTTACACTTTAAACAGGATAAGCTTAAAAATAAAGGTAAAGAAAATCTGTTACAATTGGGTTATTAACCGGGCTTATATGAGAGTTTTTTCTGAATTAAAAATAAAGTTAATAAAAGCAAATATTTTTAAAGAATTTTCATTATTTTTATTATAGAACTAATAAGTTCAAAATAATGTTACTGTATGGTTATTATTTAGGACTATAATAAGTGGTCAAATAGAGAAAAGAAAATAAGCTAAAATTTGGCTGTTAACAGGGCTAATATGAGACATAGTTCCTAACTATGTTGATATTCTGTATTAGTTTTTATAAAAAAGTTTAAAATAAAAGTAAATATGCTCCATATTTAGACCTGAAATAAGTGCTAGTCTTGTACTTCCACCTTTGAGATAATTTTCATATATTTTCCTTCTAACTTTTGTAAAATCCTAATGGAATCCTTTATGGAATATATATACTTGGCATTTTCTTCCAGTCGCGTACTGTGTTTCTTTGGCTGCTTTTCAATTACTTGCACTTCTTATTGCCATGGCCGTTGTTATTGTTGTTTAGCATTTTCTTGCCATTGGCCCAAGAGCTTGTCAACAACTTCATTATCGCTTGCGACACTGTGCCATATCATCCCCCACCACACCAACATACCACCCACCATCAGCCTGGAAACAAGACCCCTTCCACTGGCCGCACTTTCTCCTCTTACTAGACAAGCAAATTTAAATCAATTAAGTAATCTTATTGCCACTGCCACTGCTTCAGCTGCTACAGCTCCAGCTTCAGCTGCTGCTTCAGATCCTTTTATTGTTGTTGCTGTTGCCTCTTCAGCTGCAGCTCTTGGCTGCGGCGCTGAAGATGCTCTCCGCCTTTTGCCATTTGGCATTGCCTGCTTTTAGGCACTACAACCCACACACTCACGCATGCACTCACACGCACTCGTGCACTCCCCCCACATGCATGTGTGTGTGTCTGCTGGTGCCGTTTGTGTTGTTGTCGCCGTTGTTGCTGTTTGCTGGCAAACTTTTGCTGTGTTGCATATTTTGTGCAGATTAATTAAATTGCTGGCATGAAGCCGGTAACCAAAAAAGGCGGCGGCCAAATGAGGGCGGGGTGAAGTGCGAAAAAATAAAGAGTGAGCAAGAGAGAGAGAGAGAGAAGGAAAGAGGAAGGTAGAGTGGGTGAAATCCTTGCTGCACTCTTTCGGCAACAGTGTTCAAATATTGAAGTGCATTATTAAATGTTTTTCTCTATAATTCATGGTAGTGGGGGGAGGGGGGAAACAACTAACAAACAAACACTTTCAACTATCCTCTTCCCCACTGAATTTTCAAGAAAAGTTAATTTTCCGCAATTAGTTGGAAAGAAATGAGCAAGCCAAGAAGTTTATTTTTGTGGCGTTAACTTGTAGGACGCCATTGTAAATAATTGGGTCTCATTAAATAATTAACATACAAAAAAGTGGGTGTACATTTTAAGCTTTTCCAAGTTTTCTAGTTTTTTCTTAAGGCTTTTAATTACTTTAGTTTACTTTACTTTAATATATAAAGCTACTTTTTAAAAAATTGTTAGCCTTAAGTCTTAAGCTTATAAAACGATAAAGATATTAAAACGTTATATTGAATATTAAAGATAAATTTTAATTTTCTCAAAAGTTTCCCAAAAAATATAACACAATTTACCTTGTTTTTGGAATAGAAGTTCTATAAAAAGCCAGGCTAAATCATATTTTTGAAATATTTCTTAAAGGTCGGAGTCTAAATAAATATAAATTTTATAAAATAACTCTATAAAATTTTATTAGATTTTATAGTTAAATATATTTAAAACTTAAAAACAATAACTTACTTTTACAGGATTACTCTCCAAAAGAACATTAAACCTAGAGTATGTTAACCAAAATTTGTGAAAGCTTTCTTTTAAAAAAGGGGGCTAACAGTAACTTCATAGAACTTGGATGTCCTTGCTTAATGTTAAGCCTAACAGAAGGGGAAATTCTCTTCATCAGGACAACATTCAAAGAGAAAGTCCTTGTGGCAAATGTTATCCTTGTTAATAACAGCCAGGATAACAGTAAGCCGAAAGATTTGAAGTTGGCAAGAAATTTATTGCTTCCACTTCGTGCGCTTAGGAGAAAGTTTTCTCGTAGGAAAAGTTTTGGGCGGATCTTGCATGAATTTTATTTCCCAATTAGTGCATAAGTTTAATTATTGCTGGCTGATTATTAAGCTGGAAAATCCTTAAACAAATTGCCATATCAAGTGCATTTTAGCATCCCACGCATGCAAGCGAAGGACATGTGGCGCCAATTGTCTGCAATCTGCAGCCCTTTGAACCTTTGGCGTTTGTTAGCAATTAAATGTATTCACTTGAGGGAGCATTTTGCCATTGAGACTGGCCGAAAGGCGGTGTTCCAAAGGTTGCCTCCAACAATGTATATAAAAAAGTCTTGGCCAACTTTTCTTGCGGCCAACAATGACTTTTGTGAAAAGTGAAGGCGCTGCATTTTGGGTTTTGCGGCCGTAAAGAAGCGGCCAAAAGAAAGAACATTTTTTTCCCCCTCTTTGAATTTAATTTATTTGGTTTAAGAATAGTTGGGCTAACAATTGAATTCTGTTTAAGTCTTTAAACCAATTATTAAATTTCATAAAGGTACTTTGACTGGAAAATATCCTTGAAATGAATTCTGATTCATTTTAAAATGAAAAAATTCGTACAAGTTTGAATTGAAAAAGGATATAAGCTGCTGGATGTTGCTGACATTTATCTCTTTCCTAGGTTCGGGCCAAGGTAACAATTTAAAATTCAAGCCATC